TGCTAATCCCATGTCCAGGACCGCAAGTGATCCCATCAACCATAAGGTTCTTTGTACCTGGTCCGATCGAAATACAATCGTCTCCGGTTTTGATGGAAGCATTTCGGACTTCGATATCGGTAGATAATTGAATGTGAATGCCATCTGTGTTAGGACTCTCATCTGGTGCTATGATTCGGACATCTTCAATCTTTATGTTTCTGCAACGGTTTATTGCTATGTGGAATAATTGGCTATTCAATGATAATACTCCTTTGATCTTCACGTTGTATGAGTCCATGAATCTCAATGTCTACATTTTATATAATAACCAATGTTAAATTTTGATTGTTTATTTGCTATTGTGTTCTTGTGTGTTTCATACATTTATAATAGAGTATTATTTGCAAAGTAAAATATAATGTATTATTACGTTCTTATTTAAAATTTAAAATTTTGATAATGCATATGTTGTTGACCAAAAAACAAACAAAAAAAAGGACATGCATAAATTGATAATTTAAGACTTACACATACCGTTGCACCTTCAGGGCAATTGTAACCATTATTGGCCTTGCAACTCCACAAGGTTGATCCCTTAGCATCAAAAGAACCTCCAAGAACCGTAACATTGTGAACACCACTAAAACTAAACCAGTTTTCTTTTTTCCCAAGCAACTTGTAATCTTGAGGACCAATTAAAGTCCCATCAATCCTTAGGGTTATCTCACTGCTTCTACAACTTTCTCCTTCGAACCGAACCTCCCCACTAACCAAATACCTTCCTTTCGGTACGTAAATCACGACTGAATCTGCCACTCCACAAGCAGCATCCCATGCATCCGAAAAGGCTTTTACTGAGTCTACCATGCCATTTGGTTTTGCGCCAAAACTCAGAACGTTAAGACTTGTTCTTGCGTCAAACTGACTAAAGTGTGACATAATGATTGTTATAACGATGCTAAAGACCTGAACAAGGCTTAGAAACAATGCCATTTTGTGTTTTTTTTTAATTGGAAGGATTTAAAGTTTAAGATTATTGTATTTTTCGATGAAAGATTGAAGTGTGCACATGTGTATATATAAGTTTGTTAGGTCTTGGATAAAGTGATGAGGGTTTCTTTGTGGTTTAAGAATCAAAGTATGAAGCAAACGGCGCGCGGCGCCATTGATTTCTCTACGGTATTTGAAAACGAGTTGCTTGGTTTCCAAGTAATGTTGGAGCCTCCGTACGCAACGTTGAAAAATCATACTCTCTTTTTTATTAAGTTGAGTAACTAATATGTCGCAAACTCCGTTGTGTCTCCTATTTTTAATAATATATATATATATATAATATTATATTTATATATATCCATGTTAGTGCCGTGCTTTAGACGTGTGGTGGCCTAAGACACGTTTAGAAAAAAATGGTTATGGTAATATTTCAAAAAAATAATCATAATATTGAATCAAAACAAAATATTAGTAACAAAAACTGATAATATAAAAGAAAATCAAAATAAATTATTTTCTCTGTTTTCATATGTTTTTCTAAAAATATTATTTGTTTTTCTAATAATATTATTTAAAACGAGTGTAAGTAAAAATAAAACGAATCGGGTCGAACGTTTTCAAAATGGATTGGGTTTGAATTTTTTATAAATAAAAGTAACAGGTTATCTTGGATGACTTGAATTATGTATAAGACGATTTAGAATGACTTCCTTCTACGAGTGGGATCAATTAGAGGCTTAGAGAGGATGGGTGATTTAGAATGACTTGCTTTTACTATGAAATGTTTGATATTTAAATTACTATAAAAAAAAAACTACTCGGATCGATTCGTAAAACTTTGCTAAAATTAATAAAAATAATAATATCGATTATAAAGATTCATCTATTATTTTCTTACATTTCCAACTTTTTAGTAGGTAAACGAATATAATCGTAAATTTCATTATACGCTCCTTAGTAATTTGATAAGATAACGTTCAAAACAAAATCTTAAATTCTCACAAGTTTCTTCAGTTTCTGTCTAATCAATAATTCTTGGATGCCTCTACCAACAAGGTGAGCAAACAAAGTTTTAAATCGTTGAGCGAGAGCTTGTGCACTGTAGTACTTCACAACCGGTAACTTTTGAAATATGTATGCATATAAATGCAACTCAAAGAATATGTATATAACAAAAAAATATAGCAGCTAGCTAATCTTGTCGAACACTGATATAATCAACGAGTTTGAAAGGTCAAAATTAACATATGTAACATGTATTTTAAATATAATTGTTTAAAATACATGTAACATATATCAGATTGGCCCTTCCAATCCTTTGATAATAATATTGTTTGACAATATTTGCAACTCTATTCTTGGCAATACCCGCATTCTATGAGTTCTTTACGTGTTTTTATATGCATACATATTTTCAAAATTACGCATTGCGAAGTACTACCGCGCAGAAGCTATCGCTCAAGGAGAATAAACATTTGAGAAAAACACAGAAACTCAATCTAGAGTAATATAACAATTTAGGAGGAAAATTTGGGAACTCAAAAAAAGATAGAGAAAGCAAAAGTTGGAATGGTGAGGAATTTAGTGGTTTTTTCCGTCTTAAATAATCGGTGAAAAAGTCAAAGAAGGAAACAAAAATATAAATTGGTAATATTTATAATTTGTATAAACATTCATTTTAAATATTTGTTTGATTTATTTAACCATAATATTGTACTAGTCAGATAAAAAAATTTAATATTTTTTTCCATTTTACCATTCTATTGTATAAGTTTCTAGGCAAGAATATTATTATGTTTGACTGAAAATTTGTAGAATAAATGGTAAAATGAGAGAAATAATAATTTGAAAAAAAATCTTTTGACTAATAAAGAATCTTTTGACTAGTATAATATGGTAGTGGAATAAATTAAAATAAATCTTTTAAATATGGAGAAATTATGCTTATTTCTATGAAAACATTTTTTTGGTCAAACCATTTAAAACTTCATAACTAGTAATACTTTGTAATTATATAAAATAATTTTGAAGAACAACCAGATTGGGTACGGAGTATCAAGATCTCATATATGTAGAAATTGGCATAAATAATTAAAATAATAATATTAATTACAAAAAGAAATTGTAAAATAAATTTCATTTAAATTTTAATTTGTTTAAAAAAATTTATTAAGTTATTCTAAATAAATCCACACATATTTTCTAAGACATTGAAAAATATTTTTAATATTTACATTTATCATACATATATTTTAATAAAATTATATTTGGAAGTAGATCTAAATCAAATTTCGATATCCTAATCTTAATTTTTTTTTGGATCCATACAGAGAACTTGTATACGGAGAAATCTATTTTTCTAATAAAAAACCTTCATCTACTTCTACCTTTCGGATTGGATTGGACAAGGTATCAAACGTATTCTTCTCCCACCCCTAAAGATGATAGATTTATAGATTAAAAATTTTTCTTCGAAAAAGTTTTATAGAAAAAATGATTAAACAAAACATAGACATCAAACAATCAAACAAAAGAAAAGAAAACAAACAAACAAATTAACAAGAAGTAATTAAGAGATAATAAGAATATTCATTGATAAAAACAACAAAAATTTTATGAAAAGATCTAAAAACTTATAATGAAATCAAATGAATGTATAAAAAATGTTGTATTATTAGCACATACCTTTCACAAATAGTTTAATCGAATTTAAATTCTCTTCATTGACACAATTGAAATTTCGCACAAACTTTCTTATGTTATGTTTCGAAATGTTTGTTCTAAGAGAATCGGCGGATAAACACAATAAATTTGATGAGTTTGATCTTTTAATAACAAAAAATAAACCTAAGTGAAACGATCAAAACATATCACAATATATATATATATACATATATATATATATATATATATATATATAAACTTTATATGACGACATATTCTCAATTTTTATGTCGTCTAAGCTAGTTTTGGTGATGTAATATCTAACTTACAAAATGTTATATATCTCTAATTCAACTAGGAATTAGTCCATCCATAAACCCCATTATACCATTTCCTAGCTTCTACAATAAATAAAATACCAAATCAAACCAAAGAAGACAAGAAAAGAACATTTTAGAATTGATATCAAGTTTCAATTTTGAAAGTATAGGTACTTTAGTGTAAAGCTCCTTGTAACTTCGACTATGCATAAGATTTGGAGAAAAGTGTTTATAGGTCTATTATTAGTTTTTTTTTTACATAGATTCTATGTTTTAACATATTCACAAAGAAACAATATGTGTTGCATAAGTTTTTGTTGTTACAACTTCTGATGCATATCTTACTTTTTTCTATACTATGACGCAATATGGGGCAAATCTTGTAGAACAAGTGTGCACTAGATTTTGAAACCCAAATCATTCACTTTCAACAGATACAGTCTGGAGTTACATCGTTTATACTGCTTGAGTTACACATCAGTGAAAGAAGAACTCCTTGTTGCGGATGAAATTACGCGATAGAGTTTGTCGCCACGATCTCTCCAAAATCTCTACATGTTTAGAAATTTAACCTTTAAAGCGTGTAAGTTGTCCATATTCTTTTGTAATTTTAGTATGTACTATATTACTATATAGGAATAATATCACTTTGGCATACTTTCTCAACTTCTCTTTCACTATAACACACTTTCATCTTTTAACTGTTTTCTCTCTGTGATAAAGTCTTAAATACCCTTTTTTTTGTTCAAAGAATTAAAAAAATTCGTTACCATTCACGAATATCAATGTCTCTCACAGTCCCTTTTTCATGTTTTCACACTCTCTCTCACTTCTCTCTCTAATTCTCTCATCAATCTCCCCAAACTGTTCTCATTTTTGATTTCTCCCTTACCAAAAGCAAATTCTTGTCCAAATCCTGCTACTTTCTTGTAGTGTTATATTCCTCCGAAATGTCGGTGGGATCTCTTTTATTCCTGTTTCTTCTTATCTGGAACTTCAATGGCGAATTGAATGCTCTAAACGGTGAAGGGTTTGATCTTTTAACTCTCAAGAAGTCTATTTCAAGAGATCCAGATGGTTACAACTTGCTTCCGTCTTTTTCACGTTTCACCTAATCACCCAAAACTTAAACCTAACACTTAGCCGCAATTTCGCATCAATCCGATAAATCCCAGATTTCTCATCCTCCTTCAGATCTGTTCTCGCTCCCTCGCCGAGCACCACCAGATTCTGTCCTTCAATTTTTGTTAAAATCACCGTCGTATTCTTATGTCCTTGATAAAACGACGAAACGTTCACAGATCCGAATCTCTGATCACCGTAATAGCCACTCACCGAGATCTCATCGTAGTAAACTCCGACTCGTTGATTAGGGTTACGAATTGTGAAATTGAGATCAAGACTGTAATGGAGATTGCTGTTGTTGTTTGAATCGAAGCTGAATCCGTTTAGATTAGCGTCGGCGACGTAGAATTTGACGGCGTTTGGACGGAAGCTTAGCCAGAGAATGAAACCGGTGATTGCGAGGATTACGGCTATAGCTACGAGGATGTTGCAGATCAGGCTTAAGATGCAGCGGAGACAGCTTCTGAGGCAGCTGAAGCAACAGCATCCGAATCCAGGTGAGTCGTAGCTACGGTGAGCTTTAGCCGGCGGTGGAATTGATGGTCCGTAGGAAGCGCCATTTAGGTATGGTTGTTTGGTCCTCATGTGTTCGACGAATTACCTCAGAGAGAAATTAGAACAGAGATTTCAGAATACGAAATGTTTTTTGCTTCCGTCTTTTTCACGTTTCAGCTCGGGACAAAAACACATTACTACGGAAGGACATTGTTTCATGGAGGCGTAGAGTATAGAGGAACTGGGCGCGGGTTTGTGGTCTTCCATGCGAAATTTGCTGAGAACTATAGGTTCTATTCCCCTAGTCACTTTGTGAAGGGTATTGAGCTTATGATTCTTCTACTTGTATATCAGATCTTTGGTCAATCATATAGGGGTGTGGTTACTTATATTCTGATCACTGTTTATGGTCATATCCTAATGGACGCCGATAATTAAAAGATGTCAATGTATATGGTCACGTCCACATGGATATTGATAATACATTTTTCATGTGGTCAACTAGTAACTCACACCGGCTTAAAAAAGTGATATTGTTATTTTATACCATAACCAAATGGATTCGAACAATAGATTGGGTTTAGTGTTTTAGTGTAACAGTTAACGATATATGTATCAATATGAAACGACTACTTGGCATGGATCACATGATGACCATATCGACAACACCACTTTAAAAGTCACCGATAGAGGGTTTTTGATTTAGAGATTAAAATATAGGGTTTAGGGTTTAGGGTTTATTGTTTAGGGTTTAGAGGTTAAATTTTAGGGTTTTGGGTTTAGGGTTTAATGTTTAGGGTTTAGGGTGTAGGGTTTAGGGTTTTAGGGTTTAGTGTTTTGGATTGATAAGGTAGTTAACCCGAGAAACCAATTCTTGTGGCCACTACAGGAAATGTGGGTATTAATAGCGGCCGAAAAACGCAATTATTCATCTACCATAGCGTTTCCTTAAGCGCTCTAACATCGCCCGTTATAGAAAGTCGGACACTTTTGATAGTGGTTTTGCGTTGTGCAATAGTTAAGTATACAACGATAGCGTTGTCTTCTGTGCAATTGTTAATGTTTATAATAGCGTGATAAAGATGTTATTAAAACTCGTTAATTAGATTTTACCTATAGCAAAGATAGCAAATGTTTTGTGTTATTAGTTTGTTTTTAAATTATTCAAAATAATAAATAATTACGAATTATTTTTTAATTTCAATATAATATTTGTAAAAAAAATTAATTTCGAATATTTGTAAAAAAAAAATACCATTAAAATTAATACAAAATATATAAATATTAAAATGTTTAGTAACCCATTTCAAATTTCATTGTTTACAAAAACCACAAACATACCTATCAATCTACCACTAACAAACCTTCACAATCATCCCTAACATAAACAATATCATCATCAAAAGCTTCATCATCCAAATCATCGACTTCTTTGATCAGTCTTGATCCATCTTCTGGGATGTTGGAGCCGAGAAACTATTTGATGCTTTCATCATTTAGCTCACCTAAACGAGGAGAATCCATTGAAGTAGTTCTAAGTATTCTTGGAGACTCCATTGAAGTAGTTCTATGTATTTTGGGAGATTTTGGTGTTGGTGGTAGACGCGGAGACTCTATTGAAATAGTTCTCTGTGTTCTTGGTGATGCCATTGGCACATTTGCTGCAGTGGCTGATGCCGACCCAGCTTCAACTTGCTCCATTGATGTCTCGTGCGCTGCTACCAGTTCCCCAAAATCTAACTCGGAGCTCACTAATTCGTCGTATCTTCCTGACTGCACAATCATTCCATCTCGCATAACCTGTAAAACAGATTTACTCATTAGCAAATTCCTATAAAAACTCAACAAGTTTTAGACAACAAACAAAGAAACAAACCTTGGAGTTCTCGTTGTTTGTAATTGAATCCCACTTCTCCTGAACCTCTGCTGGAATTTTCAATAGAATCTTGCTTCTTCTCTTCTTCTTCTTCTTCGTCTTCTCAAGACCAGACTCATCTTTCTTCCTCTGTCTCTTCTTCCCTACTTTGTCATTAAAATCAGTCGTAGGTTCCTTAAAATTGCCAAGATCTTCTTCGCCTTCGTCTACAAATTCAGGAACATAAATCTGACTTTTTATCTAATCTCCTCCTTGTGATATCCGTCACAGAGATGACTGGACCCGTAAACCCAAATACACGATTGAAATCTGCCTTGAACAACGGCACGCGTGGTATCTTCCGGCGCCGTTTTGAGGTCCAGATAAGTCTCCCCGACCTTCTCTCCCTCGAATGAGATGATTGGAAGAGTCGCTAGCTGAGATGCAACAGAGAGCGGTTTCGATGCTTTGCCGGAGCCGAATTTTGAAACGGAAATGTAGGTTTTAGGGATTTGGTGAGAGGAAGATAAAAAGAGAGAAGAGGAGAAGAAAGATAGCGAATTTGGGGCTGTTGCAGAGGAAGCCATTGTTGGTCGATGAGCTCACCTATCTCAACGAAGAAGAAGAAGACTGAAAGTTTTAACCTATCCCATAAGATGTAAGATCTAAGAACAGATCGTACTAAGGAAGAGAAAGCCAAAAGGAAAAGAAGTTTTAACCAAAAAAAAAGAAAAGAAGGAGAAACGTTTAGCCGTCGGATTAAATTCATCAACGGTGGAGAATAAGCCCAGAGTGCAATCTCGATAGTTACTCCTTATTGGCTAAGAACATGAACGGCTCAGATCAAATCAGCGAGACAGATCAACGGTGTATATTAATCACGTTAACAATAAGAAAGGACGGCTCAGATCAAAGTCGGCGCGATCTAACGGTGTAGGATTCGTCCCACAATGTGGGAGGTGAGTTCTCATTGGCTAATAATGAAAAAATCAGAAAATTATCATATAAAATTGTTTATTAATGAAAAAAATAGAAATTATTTCTTTAAAAATTCAATATAAGTATTTCAATTTTTAGAATATTTTTTCTTATAAGTATAAAATTTTAAAATTAAGAACAATTAATATAAATTAGTATTCCAACTATCTAACTTATATGTTCATAAACACTAGGGCATAGTTTAGGGTTTAGGGTTTAAACTTTGGGGTTTAGATTTTTTTACTCAAGTTAGATAGTTTTTGGATTTTAATTTAGGATTTTAACTTTAATTTAGGGTTTAAAGATTTAATTTAATTAGGATTTTAACTTTAATTTAGGGTTTAGGGTTTAGGGTTTAGGGTTTAGGGTTAGAGATTTAATTTAATTAGGATTTTAACTTTAATTTAAGGTTTAAAGATTTAATTTAATTAGGATTTTAAAGATTTAATTTAATTAGGATTTTAACTTTAATTTAGGGTTTAGGGTTTAGGGTTAGAGATTTAATTTAATTAGGATTTTAACTTTAATTTAAGGTTTAAAGATTTAATTTAATTAGGATTTTAAAGATTTAATTTAATTAGGATTTTAACTTTAATTTAGGGTTTATAGACTTAATTTAGGAATTTAATTTTTTTATCATAATATTACAAAATGTACCAATATATACCATAATATTACACAATGTACCATTACCATAATCTAATTTCACAATACTAATATTACATAATCTAATAAGTTTCTTATACACATCCAAGCTATATACAGAACTAGAGAAATTGAAATCAAATGCATGAAACGACAATTACAAAATGTCAATTGAAGTTTACAAATGTTAAATAAACACGTTTATAACTTGATTTGCTAGAAACTCCATCTCCATATCGGGAACCACCTTGTGAGACGCTTGTGCTGCTTGAATGAATCGCCTGAAACACAAAACAAGAAAATGACCTTAACACTTTTTCGAAATTTTTTGATAGGAAATGTAATAGTGATAGAGTTTACCTGAGAAACGTTTTGGTGGTGGGAACAAGTGGTAATGACTCAGAATCTTGAAATTTTTGTTCAAACCTCTGCAACATGAACATTTTCATATATACTTGGAGCATAAAAGCTGTAAAACTCAGGATCTTAGTTCATGCTTGTACCTGCAACAAAAATAGAGGATTCAACACAAAGATAGTGATTTTGCTAGGCAAAAGAAGCTGAATGACTCTTTCTTCCTTACAGTTGCACGAAGGTTAGAAGAGTTTGGTGCCAAATGATAGGCATTACTCAGTGCACTGACACATATTACTCAGAAATTTTAGAATTGAATTTGTCATCAATCAGAATGTTGCTAGACTTAATGTCTCTGTGCACACATGATCTGAAACCACGAACTATGATACTTAGAGCACACATTCAATTTATTATTACTACTGAGCTATATCTAATCAATTTATTACCTGATTATTACTACTGAGCTATATCTAAACATATTCATATGCACATAATGAAACATGTGAACAGAACCTATGTGTATTTACCTAATTATAGAAGCTGCAGCATTCTCTGGACAACCAAAACTACTTCCTCCTGCAGAGGACATTCAAATTGGAGAATCTCACATATTATACAGCTTAAAAATTGGCAAAGTTGTTGTTTGTCAATTAGACTTCTCAGATTCTTTTTATCTTCAGATCTTAGTTCATGCTTGTACATACACTTAAGCATATAAAGGGATCGTATTGAGACAGTATCACTATTCGCAAAAAGATATATGTGAATCAATCATCAATTTAGCCAAATTAGAGAACAAGCAAAGATAAATCCGAAATAAATAAGTGGAGCAAATAATATCTATTAACAGTTCTAGGACATCAAAATTTCTGCAGCTACTGAGCAAACTAAGAAGCTACAGATGACAATCAAAGCAATACAGATCCTAAAACATATGCAAACGACCTTTATGCAAGACAAGTATGAAAATTTTGTCTTATGAACATTGAACTAGAGGGTTAAAGAAAGAACCTGCTGTAAGTATCATCAGTATCTTCAACTAAATGATAACTCTGCAAAGCCTTAGCGTTGATCACAGCCTCCATGCCAGATGGGTCTTTCAAAAACTCATTGAAAGTCAGCTTCTTTTCTCCATTAATCTGTAGCTTAATCCTCTATTACCTTTGCTACTTTTGCACCACAAGCTGCAGCAAGTATTGAAGATCCAGTTGATATATTGACTGTGTTTGCTCCATCACCACCTGTTCCAACTATGTCCACAGCATCGACTAATCCTTCCACTTTCCTGGCATGCTTCATCATTGCCCTAGCCAACCCCACAATCTACCCAACATCGTTTGTTTACTTAGTGAAGTGCTTTACTTAGTGAAGTGCTATAATTTAGAATTATGTATGTTTTTTGTATACGCCTAGCTTGACTTACTTCTTCGTATGTCTCTCCTTTAGCTCTCAGGAGAACCAGAAAGGCACTAATTAGTGCCTCGTTTGCCTCGTTCAGCAAAAACTCGAGAGATGATTCAGCCTCAGCTTCAGATAGATCAACCCGATCAATCAAAGTCTCAATCAACTGAGAGAAAAAAAAATAGAACAGATCAAACACATTATGAGAACATAGTAATCTCAATATCTAGATATCTATCTTCAAAGCCATTGGAAGCTCAACAAACTAAAATTCTTTAAAATCCAATCAAGTAATACGTAATACAATGTCACTCAAATCCAAGCCATACAAATGAAATTTAAAGAACATATAAGACCAAACATGTTTAGTCAGCATGAAGCAAGTGAGTCAATCTATAAGTCAGAAAAAAAAAAACAGATACAGATATTAACTAGTAGATTTATCAAAGACCTAGAAACAAGGGATTAAAATCAAAATCTCACCTGGTTGAAAGATTTGATGGAAGAAGGAGTGGCATTTTCACAAACATTTGGCAGAGCTTCAGGTGCACTGAAACCACTGATTCCACCGCTCAAACCAAGATTCTGAGAGCAAACGAAAGAACTGCAGCAATTCAAGGGGTCAAGAGCACAATTAGATTGCTAGATTTACATTAAGTGACCACAAACAATTCCAGAGGATGTGTGTTACTCTAAGAAACAGACACAAAACCCAAAAATGGAGGCTTTACCTGCGACTAAAGGAAGATTGGGCATCTCCGCGAATTGGGGACACAACTCCGATCGATGAGAATCATCGCCGACTCAATGTCGGATAAATTCTAACTCCGGTCAGGTTGGTTTTTCCAAAACTACTGGACCCATCATCTGCGGCGTTGACCGAAGTTAAGATCCCTGTTGTTGACTGTGACAAATCGAGAGAAATCGAGAGAGACAAAGTGATTTTTGCCTTAGGAAAAAAAATGAAAAAGTGATTTTCTTGTTTTAATTTATTTTGCCTTAGCCAAATTTCTCATTTTTCCCTCTTAACACTTTCAATAGCGGGAATTACACTTTAGTAACCCGAAACTTGGCCGCGTGAATTTCATTTATCCCGCTTCAATCATTTATAGCGTTTACAATTCACAAAATGCTATCGAATAAGTCAAACATAGCAGAGACATTAAAAACGCTATCTTTTAGTGCTATCAATACCCACATTTCCTGTAGTGGGCGGTTTCAACTACTTCCTTGGTAAGCAGTGCTTTAGTTCGACAATTATATATCCTTTTTTTCTTGAGTTGAGAACTAAGAGACGGAAGCCATTATGGTGAAACAACTCGTCCGATCATATGGAATACATCGTTTGGACATGGTTTTATGGACAAAAATGATAAGTTTGAAGTTAAGCTTGCGAGCTTAATCAAAATTATAACGAAACTTGTCATTTGGTGGTTCCGAATTGCTACGTGAAGTCCCTGGGAAGCAGATGCTATCGGGTACTACTTGATTCAAATTAATCAAAATCCATATTCCTCCACATTACACATTATTTTTATGTGATTGAACATTTGTTCACTATGAAGGGATGATAAATTGCATGGATAAGGGGTGGTGGAATCGATGAAATGCACGAATCTTTTGTTATCAAAACAATAAATCTTTGAGGAATTGTGTTTGCGTCGGAACATTAAGCACACAATTTTGTTTGTGTTCGTTCGTAAAGGCTTATCCTAAAATTCTCTTAATCCGATGTTCTCATCTCATCCAACATTGGTTTTGGGCTTGGAAGAACTACAAAACGTAGTAATAGTAAGACTCCTTTTTGTCTGATTTTGTAAGGTTTTTTCTTATGTCCATCTCTTTTATATGAGAAAGTTAATGTCTTTTATTAATTAGTTTTTAATCTTGAATCAATTTTGCATTTCCAGTATCCATGTGAACGTGACCATATATATAAAATATGTTAATTTTTCGGCGTCCACTGGGACACAACCAATAACCTTGGAAATATTGTTACCATTCTGTTTCGCATTTAAGATAGGGTTTGACAGATATGTTTGGATGGTCAGTAGTTTGTATTCACTTAGAAACAAAATATGTTTTAAAACGGATGAACGTAGATGAATGACAATTGGAACTGTCAGGTATATAGTCAAAAGTTCTTTAAAACACCAAATATATGTTCGAACGCTAATGGACGAATTCCCTTGCTTGACACTTTATCAGAGTTTGTATTGACACGTTTTTTATATACATCCATATCGTCAGAGTTTGAAAGAGATATTTGGATGGTCAGTAGTTTATCATGGTATATTTTTATACATCTAAACGAACTTATATATCTGTTTGGGTTGATAAGTAGGAGTTAGGGTATAATTTTATACATTTAAACAAACTTACATATCGATTTGGGTTTATAAGGTCGGGAATATGATATATTTTTATATATTTAAAAGAACTTGCATATCGGTTTTTTGTTTATAAGGTAGGAGTTAGGATTTAGTGTTATAAATTTTTTAAAAATAGCATATCGGTTTAGGTTTATAAGGTAGAGGTTAGGGTTTAGTGTTATTCATTTAAACGAAGTTACATACACATCACTCGGATCTGAACTCGGAGCAGTGATTGGTGTTGTTACAACAAACACTTGATCAGAGTTTGGCGGAACCGAAAAACCTTATCTTTATTCGTTCATGTGGTCAAAGTTTAACGGATATATTTGGATGATCAGTAGTTATAAATTTTGGTGTAGTATGTTTGTTCTAGTACCTTTGAATACCCATTTAATGATAAACAAATGTTCAATTGGAAATGGATAATATGTAATATAATTATTCACTTAAAATATAGCAACAATGGATCTTAAAATGTAGAAAAAAATAAATCTTAATTGATTATATATAAAAAATAGACAATATATGTCATATTAAGTAACTAAAATGATAATAAAAAAAAATGAGAGAGAGAAAAAAGAAAAAAAAAAAAAAAAAAAAAAAGAGAATGAGAGAAAAAGAATTGACGTGGAAGGAGAAGAAAAGATGAAGAAGTTTGTATCTCAACTTTTTTCCTTTGCACATGAATATAATTCAGGGGCATTTTGGTATTAAATAATGTTGAAAAGTGGAATTAAGTTGAAAAACTCGAAAAGTGTCTTTTTGATATGAAAATCACGAAAAGTATGCTAGAGTGATATTCACCCTACTATATATCCACGAACAATCTTAATTTCGATCCCATGGTTATTTAATGTTGTATACTATTCAGTTAATTTTTAGGCATTCTATGAGACAGTTACTAATTATTATTATTTTTCATTTTCTAGGCTATGTTAATAAAAAAAATCCATTTCTGAGTATAATTATATTTAGTTATTACAAAATATATGGTCTTGGAACTCCATATTTTCGATTAATCAATCCAACTATCACCTCATTTATTGATAGCCAAACAACATATTTTAATGTTATTGCTTTCTATACTATGTTTTTTTTGTCAAAATATTTCTAAATTATGTTATTTTATGTGATCTATATATTATGAAACGTTCTAAACAAAATTTATAATTATTATTTGCGTAGTTTTTGTTCGTCTTAAAAATTAAAATTATAGTAGAAGCGGAAAATAATTCTGTTCTTATTGGTATAATCGTGATTTAGCAAATTTGACTATTTTTTACATTTACGTAAAAATATTTCCTATTCAATTATATATATATATATATATATATATATTACTTTTTCTTGTTTTGTGAGAAGTTTTTGATTTTTTTTCTTTTAACTATCCTAGGATTAAGGACCCCCGCGATGTCGCAAGAGAATATATTATAAAAATCGTTTAAACAAATATCAAACAAAAATTCATAATGAATTGTAATAACTTTTTTTGTTTTTAATATCCAATCAATATAGATTCTATGAAAATTATGATAAAGATAACCTCACAAGCATTTATTAAGTATATTAATATTAGAAAACATTAATTTGTTCCTAAAAACTATTCCCAAGTGCAATAAACATCAAATAATAAACCAAAAGTTACAACGGTTTAATAAATAAACCAAAATGTTCATTGATTCGTTAAATAAACCAAAAACTACTATGTTAAATTAAACGGTAGCAACAATTCATTTAAATATATATTAATAATTCAATATTTTTTAAAAAAATATGACGAACTTTAACCGAGAGACACGATTATAGATATCAAATATACCAAAACTTGCAACGGTTCGTCAAATTTACCAAATGTTGCAATGATTCATCAAATATACTAAAAATTACAATGGTTCGTAAAACAAAACTAAAAATTGCAAGGATTCGTCAGATAATCCAAATATTACAACGGTTCAATTAAACGGTTACAATCTCATTTAAATACATTTTGAAAATTGAAAATTAAAAAATTAAAATAATAATTTATGAAAAATTAAAAACTAAATGTAATTTATAAAATAAAACGAAAGATTACAATTGTTCGTGAAATAAACTAAATATATAAAACAAAAAGTAGCAAATGTTTGTAAAATAAACTAAATATTGCAATGATTTGAATAAGCGGTTTCAACTGTGTATGAAGAGTTACAATAAAAATTAGAAGATATTCAGAATGCAATTTGTAAAACAAAAAATAACTATAAAATATAAATTTTAGTTTTTAAAAATTTAACAAAATTTTTGATTAAAAGACACAACCGTTCACAAACGCAAAAGGCATTTATTGAGATGATGGAACAATCAATTTATGTTTGTTTAATATATATGTATTTAATTTAATTTAAATTTTAATTAATTTTATTATTTGTTACAATTTTGACAATAAATAAAAAAAAAAGTAAAAAAAAAAATCATCATCTTCGACTATTCACCGTCCGACCACAATTTTTCATATTTTTATTCATTTTATTATATATGTTTACCATCATTTTATTCAATTGGTATTATAAGATTCTAATTTATCCAATGGAGAGAGCGAAAACGCTTATGGATCAGTTTAAAAGATTCCACATTTTATCAAGAAATTTCATGGTCGGACAATGAGTAAACGGAAAAAATAAAGTTTTTTTTAATAGATTTTTATTAATTGTAATAAATAATTAAATTAATTAAAATTTAAATTAAATTAAATAAATATATATTAAACAAACATAAATTGATTGTTACATTATCTTTTATGGCTTTGCAAACATAAAAGTTAGTTTGGAGGTTTATAGTGTTAGTAAAACAATTTTGGTGGTTTATAGTATTAGTAGAATTCTTTCGAGGTTTGAAGTGCTACCCAGTTACACTTTGAGGGTTTAAAATGTGATTTTCCCTATATAGTAGAACGCCAATTCTCGTAACCGATGATCAAATATACCAAAAGCTGCAATGGTTCGTCAAATATACCAATTTGCAATGATTCATCAAATATACTAAAGATTACAATGGTTCGTAAAACAAACCAAAAATTGCAATAATTCGTCAAATAATCCAAATGTTGCAAGTTCAACTAAATAGTTACAATCTCATATTAATATATTTTAGTAATTAAAAATTAAGAATTAAAATTTTATGGAAAGTTACACCGACGGTAGATAATTAAATGTTATAAAGATTTATAAAAATAAACTTAAAGTTGCTATTGTTCGTGAAATAAACTAAATGTTGCAATGGATTAAATAAACGGGTTGCAGCTGTTTTATGAAGAGTTACAATAAAAAGATGCAACCGTGTAAAACATTTACTCGGATTGCAATTTTTTCAAAAAGCATAACGTAAAATATATTTTTTAGTTAAAAAAAAAAATATATATAGCGATATACCAAAAGCTGCAACGGTTTGTCAAGTTCGTCAAATAAACTAAAGATTACAAGGGTTCATAAAACAAAACCAAAAGTTGCAATGATTCGTCAAATAAACCAAATGTTGCAACGGTTCAATTAAACGGTTATAATCTCAATTAAATATATTTTATGTAAAAAAAAAATTATGAACCGTTATACTGAGAGACGCTGCGGTAGATAATTAAATGTTATAGCTATTTATAAAATTAACCAAAATTGCAATTGTTCGTTAAATAAACTAAATATATAAACCAAATGTTGCAATTGTTCGTAAAATAAACTAAATATTGCAATGATTTGAATAAACGGTTTCAGATGTTTATCAAGAGTTACAATAAAAAGACGTAACATAGAAGACATTCAGAATGCAATTTATATTAAAAAAAAAAACATAATTGTAAAATATATATTTTAGTAAAAAAAAAATTAATGAAAAGTTGCGATAAAAAGACACAATCGTTCAGAAGTGCAAAATGCATTTATTGAGATTGCTATTATATATAGATTTACATCGAGCATCACTAAAGTATATGTGCTTGCGACCCATAAATATGTACTTATATCTTTTATCGTCCCTTAATTAACATAAAACTCTCATTATTCTATTGGTAAGGGACTACAAAAGTCTTCTTGTGGTTTAGAAAGTCGACCCTTTTCACCATTAGTTAAATTCAGTTTTCTAAAATACGCTAGGCGGTAGTCGGGCGGTGGATCACCGTATAGCGCCTAACTGTATACGGTGAATATATTTTAATAAAAATACATATGTAATTATATATTATATATATATAATATATAAATATATTACAAATATATATATCTATATATAATATCACTAAAAACAAATGTCTCAGTGAAAATATTCTTAAAAAAAAAACAATTGTCAAAAGAAATAAAAGGAATCTCATGTTAAACTCAAACTCTAAAAAAAAATGAAAACATAATGACAACCGTATTTATATTAATGGCACCGTATAAGTGGCTGTATTAAGCCGTATAGGCCGTATTAAGCCGCATAGCGCTGTATTGAGTTGTATAGCACCGTTTATTGGCTGTATTTAGCCTGCGAACCTAAGTTTCATAGATGATTGAGATGTATAACCTACGTTAAAACCTAATTTTCATAAATGATTGAGATCTATTACCAGAGTTCCATAGATAAATTTAGGTTTTTACAAGATTTGAGACTTTTTTTTACATTAGAGTTTCTAATAAATCCATTTTCTTTTTTTAGCTTGGTTAGAGTGTTTGTGAAGTATCTCGAAAGTAATGGTGTCCCTGGTTTGGGTGATTTAAATGAAGTTGAAAAGAGAATTCAGAGGCACTTGGATACTAGTTCTGTGATTAACAACTTAATGCCTCAATTGGAGTTTAATACGGGAATAATGTTGTCTACGTGGTCAGGCAATCTACGTGGTCTTTCTGCAAATAATGTTGACTATCAAGCTCGGGTATCATACCTCCTTGATCTTTCCGAAACAGCTGATGTCCAAGAAGCAGCTAATGCCCAATAAGCAGATGATGTCACTTTGTTATTATGGTTTATTATTATTGGTATCTTTTATCTCTTAGAAAGATAACAAATCTGAGAAACAATCAATTTGTTAAGAACCTGAAACTCCTGTGTTTTGGTTGTCGCTGATTTGAACTTATTATGTTATTATTTGTATCTTTAATCTCTTAGAAAGATACAAATAATATGTGCATTAACAGTACACACAAAACAAGTTGTACCACTAAAACGGTATCGTATTAACAGGCTTTTACATCCTGCTTTGACGTAATCTCAAGATTATTAAAGCTTTAAACCATATGCATGCTGATTGATGGAGTAAATATTTGAATTAATTTCATAAGAATTGCAAATGTTAAGAAGTTAAACGATCATTTGTTTTAAACTTATCATTGTACTTGTAGTATATGTATTGTATGGGCTTTTTTTCGTTTTATGTTCTTTATTTAAGCCTTACTTTAAGAGATCTATCGTACATGCTTAGTTGAAAGTTAAGGCATCACATTGCTTTTCAATGAATTCTATCTCAACTTGATATATGTTAAACTAATCAAGTTATGTGTGCACACATTAAGATTATAATAATTAAATAAATTTAAGTGATAATTGTGGTAACTCATTATTGCTTCTATAGTTTTACACAATCACAAATGACAAAACTAAGAAAACACAAAGCACTACAGTTAAATACCAATTCAAAAGAGCTTCGTTTATAAGTACATAAAGTATCAGAATGATCATTAGTTACAATAATGTTACACATTACTCATACGGAGAATTAAAACAAAATAACACTTGTAGAACATATTCCCTGCATAAGCAACGTAATTAGCCTCTTTAACAAAAAACGTAAGAAGCTAATCTTCTTCTTTTTTTTTCCACACAAATTTTCCCATTAAACACACAAAAACGAGTTACAATTACTTAACACGTCAAAGAGGTTGCTTTCTCCTTCTGTTCGTCTCACTGTACACTTAAAAATGGATCTATGGACTGTGCAAGTTCTTTAGCTGCTCAACCACATCAAGAGTATTGCTTAGCTGATGATAATCGGAGCGAAGAAGAGCGTTTATTTGTACCGAGGTTTTGGGTCTATCATTGAAATGGTTCTTTGCAGGTCCACCACGAGGGCAGTGACGCACACGGATTCTATGCTTTCTTGTCTCAGTCGAGAATCTTCCGTGAACCACAAGGACCAATATGACTTCCTCGTCTCTTGTGTCTTCACACCAAGAATTCTGTGCAACACCGTCTACAAACTCTTCTACTGTTGGGAAGTCTTCGAGATGAACTGATACCTCGGCTATTTGGTTTGGTTTGATTGTGCCAGTTCCTGGAGACACCTGTTTACAGATATAAGAGTGTTTAGTGAAATTGATTCCAAAGAAATTCTCAAGACACGCGACATGATTTAAGTGTCTAGGACATGCTAGTTATGTGTTGTATTTTAGGAAACAGAACAGTAAGACTTTAATGAAAAGCCAAACTGCAAGCATGAAAGAACAACTAACCTCCAGCCACTGGGGAAACCCAAAAGAGCCTCTTGCTCGGTGATCATGTGCCTGACCGTCCTCCTCGATGTTAGATTGACCTTCACAAATTATTTTGAAGAAAGCGATGTTCTTCTCACTCTTATTTGTGATACGTAGAATAGTTGAATCCTGATTTTGGAGAATAATATTATTGGTGCTGACAATTGTTTCTGGAACCTTGCTTAACTCTCCAAGCAAAACTTTGATTTTCTTATTCGAGTTTATGATGTTCCCGAATTCTTGTCTCCTGACAGACTCATCGACCCGGGCAATCTTGACACTAAATACACAGCGGACGGGCTTGTGGTCACTGTCTGTCACATCCATGCAGGCATCATACCTTACAAAATAAAAACGAGAATTGTAAGTTTTAATCCTTTGTCAGTTAAAGAATAATAATCATATATGTTATAAGGGTCACAGAAAAGTATGATTTACAAAAATATGCATTTCACAGACTCTATACCCAAGTCTCTGAAATTATAGAGTAACCTAAATGTCCGCACAAAGAAGCATTGAAACTGATAAGAAAGAACATCTAAAAAATGCCATGTTTCTTGGTTCTAGAGACTCATGTAGGATATAAGTCATATCTAGCCTGTAACACACTTTTAAAACCCAGAAATGCGGACACAGTTTCCTATTCTCTAAACCAATTTAATGCCACAAAGAAAAAGTGTAAGTTACAAATGTTTCTATCAGGAGTCATCAAGACTAAGCCCCATAGAGAACATGTGAATGATTGGTGAATATTGCAATCGAAGTACCAGAACCGAAGGAGTTGAAAAGTAAACAGGAGGCTGATGTTTTGTTGTTATAGGAAATTAGTTTAAGAAGCCAATCCCCATGAATAAGTTGAGGAATGACACAATCTTCAAAATCTATTACTGTCTTGATCTAATAAAACGTATGGACTAGTAACGTAAGCCTGTCTCCAGTATGCTTTCTATAGTGACAGGAAACTTACTGTGATATAGAAGACACCACTGGACAATCCAAATTGCACTCAGCTCCCAAATGTTTCTTGTTATCGCGATATAGAATCCTGTCACACCAGGCAGGAATCCGCTTCTTTTCTCCGGAATCATATCCTGCAGAAACACAGCTTCAACTGTCAAATACGGTTTCAGTAAGTCAATGCCCTTAAATCCCAAAAGCCCTGAATATAGGGATATGATCAGAAACTTGGCAAGAACCCCCACACACAGAAGCCAGCAGAAACTTGGCTCCCATCAGATGAAAGAAATAGTGTGAACATATTCTCGGCTGCTCGCTCTTAGGTAGATGCAAGGCTAACTTTATATTATTTGTAGTATTTCTCTGTAAGTACTTAGATATATCCACATTCATAACTTTTGAAATTATATGACCTTAAGGTTTTGAGCTACCTTCCTAGCAGAAAAAACTTGGACAGTTGGACATTCACAATTCATAATGCTGTCAATTTTACTCTCTATTTTTTGGAGAGGTTCGGAACAGCAGCTTAAACTATTATTCTCCAGGGAAATGGTATTAATTTAAAAACTACCAGAAGCTAAAAAGTGGAACCAAGTCACTAACCTGCTAGACCAGCTTGGTGCCTTTCAAACTTGTATGTTGGAGGGAACCTGATAATTGCTTCACGCATCCCTTGAAAAACATTCCCAGCTTCCATTTCAGCGTGTAGCTGATCTTTTTCTCTTAGCCAATCAAAACATCTTTGAGAAATGAAATCCCTTGTTTCATCATAAGTTATATCATCCAAACGGTAATTAAAATCTCCAAGAAATATGACCATGTCTGCCTCCGATAATTCAGGCCTTGCTTCAACTATGTTGACACCCGTAGCCTGTAAATTGATAGCTCTTAGACCTTTTTTAAAATTACACTGCATTCTCTAAAATAAAATGATAGCAACTATAATCAAAAGATATACATACATTGCCACCACGAGGCACTGAAACACCAAATGACGCTCCAGCTGCAATGGAGGAGACCAATAACAAGAGTGACCAACGAATACGCAAAAAGTAATAAGCTGAGCAGGTAACACAGCACGATAGAAATAAATTACGCAGCATACCAACTCCCGCATTGAGTGAACTAGACTGCCGTGAGAAGGTCATTGTTCGATAAACATGGTCAAAGTCAGCATTTCGCCTGTTAACAGCATCTAGATGTGCAGCAAAATGACAATTTACAAAGCACAGTACTCGATCATACATTCTGAGTCGCACACCTACAGCACCCTAATGAGACAAACAACCGTTCCATCAGAATAGAGATAAGAAGACAAAAAGGGAAAAGGGAAAAGAACCAATAACGTAAACATCAGCTAATATTTGAGAAAATATTTGTCACTTTTGTTTTACATCTTTTTTTTTATTGTTGATAATATTTGTGAGCAACTTTTCCTAATATGGCCTATACCTTATTACCAATTGCTCGTCCAAAACCACAAGGAACCGCAGCGGCGTCAACATCTCCCACGTAAGGTTTAAGGTCATGTCTAACCCTGAAATAAATAACACATTTACTCTATAAGACTTTAATGTGTCAAGTTCATCCACTACTAACAAAAGAAATTGGGAAAACAAATTCCCCAGGGGAAAGCATACATGATAAGTAACACCAAAATCATTACTCTCCTTCCATAGCTTTAGATTCAAATTTTTTGAAAATATGAAATCACAATTAAAGAAATCTGAATATAAAAAAATAAAAATAAAATTCATACTAACAAGTTATTCCTATGTGGAGATTATTCAAAGCAGGACTGAAAGAGAACATTTTTTTATCAAAAAGAAAAAAAAGAGAGAACATTTGACATCTGAAAGTTAAGCGATCCAAATGAGCACAAATAACGTGGAGTATACTTCAACAACAAAGATGAATTGTCACAATATGAAAAGTAACTGACGCTTGCAATAAATGAACAGAAAAAAGTTACATCAAAACAAAATACTAACCATACACAAATGAGCAACCCTGCCAGTTGCCTAGAGCCCACACGAACAAACGATGAACCCTCATCCAAAGTTTTCCCAATCATATCCAGCCACCACTGACCAAGGGGACTACCCTCAAGTCCCACCTGCATTCAGGGAAACAAAGTGAACAAGAAGCGTAATTCCCAGATACACTCATAGATTACTTATAACACTTAGCCCCCTAAAACGGACGTGTATGTGAGTGTGTGTGTGTGTGTGAATGTGTTGAACTTAAATAGCATCGGTAGTGACCAGGAGAGTGGCATACGCCTAAAGTTATACATCTGTGCCGCTTAATAGTAGGTAAAAGAAAGCTTACTGTTTCTTTTGCTGCGGACATTGCAAGAACTCCTGCTCCCATTTCAACTTCTTGCAGTCCAACAACTACGATCTCAACTCCAGTTGCAGTACAACCAAGCCAAGATACAAGTGAGTCGGTTGACGCTCTGCCCTCTCCAACATTCCATGTACCAGCTAGTATTTTCAGATTCTCTATCCTTGAATATAAAAATTCTTTCCCAGCCAACTCGGCCCGCAGTACATTGTCAAGGGGCCCAGGAGAAGTAACATTCCATCCACGAATACCACCATGATTTGCAAGGGTAAATAAATAACCAGCCCCGATAGCCATTTTTATTACAGGTCCACTATGAGCTACCCATCCACCAAGAAGCTTTCCCTCAAGGTCCAATACCTGAACAGTGCCGTTGGAATAACCAACCCACAGTCGAGAACAAAAAGTGAACATGCATAGAATACCAGAGGACTGGTATGAGAACTCTTGCAAGCAATTACCATTTCCATCCCATCGCATAAGTACGCCATTTGAACTTCCTGTCCAAATAAGTCCATCAACTGATATAACAATAGCCTCAGTTTTCCTACTATCATCACAAAACCCCCCTTTCGTTGCAGCACGACGAACAGCATCAGCTGCTCCCATAAGAGCATTACGAGACCGCTGAAAGAAACCAAGAGAAGATTGAGCTTTCTCCTTCTTTGAAGCAGTTATTTTCATCTTGCCCTCTTCCTCACTCCCAAAATCAGGATACACAGAATTTTCAGTTCGATTCTCGAGCTGCCCATCAATATTGAATACTTTGATCAAATCCCTAGTGCGAGCATCCCTGCCATGAATTTAAGAAACATAAAATAAAAATTAGTGAGCTATACAAGTGACCTTAATGGTTCCTGCTAGCAATTGAAGAACTACAGAGCCAAGTGACAAGAGATATTGTAGAAAAAAGTATATAATCCCCATTAAGTTTATTGCAGTAGTGCTGGATGATCAATCGGAATCAGAAAGGATGATGCATAAGAAAAGCAGAAATAATGAGTCTCAATTTTACCATAAAGCAAACGTTAGGGGACTAGCACTCCAGACTCTTGCACTTGTATGATCAGATACAAGGAATGTCACATCTGACGTTAATGTATTAGCAAATCCATTGGCCGAAACCATGTTCCTAGGGTCAATATACGATCTCTCTACAGATAACGCAGCCATGTGCCTTTCTTCCATCTTCAAAGAGAGAGACTTCCCAAGAGCGTCCCAGGGCCAAACTTTAAGAGCGCCTCCCTCAGACCCTGACCATATATCTCCTACACAATGGACATCAAAAGTTGTGTTATGAGAGAAGGTTAAACACAATTCAATTTTCCGCAAGGGTGCCATCATATATTTACATTTTGACATTGCACAAATTGAACCAACTTCGATCACACACTAATGAAGACAGTGAAACGCTAACTCAACAACACAATTACAAGACGGATAGTTTTGTAGACTACATAAGCTGTTTATACTTTATATGTGTTAGCCAGCATAACAATCTGATTCAGGCCAACCAAATATCATCAAGACTACTAATTTTGGTCCTCAAACCCAATTTCCACAACAAGAAACTCGATGTCAACATTCGAAATCCTCCATCTTTCATCTTAAAAAGCTACACGAGCTAACAAGAACTCTATTCCCAAACAGCATAAACAAGGAAATTAGAAACTTACAATAGAACAACACTCACCATAAGCCGAAATGGCAATGGAGAGAACCGGACCACGATGAGCTTGCCACGACAAAGCTTCTTCAATACCATGATCATCTCTCAATCTCCAACACCTAATCCTCCCATCTCTATGCCCACTCCAAACAACTCTACTACCTTCATCACCAATCATACAAACAACAGCAGACCCAATCTCATTCCCTAAACTCTCCTTATACGGCGCCGTATCCTCTACCTCTAATCCCCTCCCACTTCCATACAATTCACTAAACTCCCAAACTCTCAACGCACCATCCTCACCACCAGTCCATAATTGTCTCTCAGTACTCGTCATCGTCCTCAAAAACCTCCCAATTTGAGTTTCTCTCAACGGATGAGGTCTCACATCAAGACTCGGTGGTCGATTCGGATGAACGGCTGACCTAATCGGAACTTTGAAGATCCCAGATTCACCACACTTACCAACAAATTCCGGTAGCGAATCGGGGCCGTTTCCATCACCGATCCCGTCGTGATTACCGTCTTCGCTTAGTCTCCGGTCTAGAAATTGGATCATGTAATCGATTCGTTTGTTGCTGTCATCGACGGAAGGCTGAGATTCATCGTCGCCGGAGGAAGATGAGGAGGAGTAAGCTGAACGGTTGAAAAGCGTGGATGGAGTCGCGGCGGAGAAAGTAGATTCGTAAGGAGGAGAGAAGAAGGAGAAAACGTCATCGTTTTGATCGTTTTGACGATCTTCCATGAGTATGGACTTGAAGTTTTACTTGGAGCAGAGAGACTCGAGAGAGAGACGACGAGTTTTTTCGGTATTAGCCAAAAAGATATTTTCCAAGAAGCAAAAATGCTTGAAACGTGTTGCTACTAGGCCTGGGACTTATTATCCGGGATCGGGATCCGATCCGGGATCCGCTCCGAAAAACAGGATATCCGGGGTGGGCGGATCCGGATCCGGATAATGATTTTATGGATCCGGGCGGATCCGGATCCGGATCCGGATACTTCAAAATTTTAGAACCGGATATCCGGATCCGGTACTATTAAATGTTTATAGTTGGGCCCATTATAGTTAGTCAAATTTGAAACTCATTTTATTCTAAAGCCCAAATGATATAAAGCCCAAACCCAATAATTTACTAAAATATCTCTCCAACTCTCTCTTCCCCACGAGACCTGTCAACCTCCAACATTATCTCTTCACCTCACCACAAAACCTAGATCCAAAAATTGCAGAATTTACATCTTTTAATTTCTAGTTTCGATCCCCCAATCCATAAATCATTTGTTGTAGTTGTTGGCTCTCTAATTTTCATCCCATCTTTTCGTCGTGGATTTGTTGTTTTCGGTGAATCGCCGGCGGATTTGGTGAATCAAACAATGAAAAAGTAACAGATCTTGAATGGTTTTTCTTAGTTTCGATGATTCAAAGTTTTTTATTGGTATAGGAATTCAACGCTCCTGTGATTTGGTTATTTGCGTTTGGTGCTCTACCTGGGTAAAGTATTGAAGGAGAGCGTGTCAAGAAAAAAATGGGCTCACGAAAAAAAAAAAAAAGGTTTTATTCGGATCCGGATATCCGCGGATATCCGGGTTTTTTAACGGGTATCCGTGATCCGGATATCCGGTTCATCCGGATCCGGATCCGGATAATAAAACTGTAGATCCGGCGGATCCGGATCCGGATCCGGATACACCCAATTTTGCCGGATATCCGGATCCGTCTCAGGGCTAGTTGCTACGAACTTCTCTCTGGTTTATTGTTATTTTTTTTTTCTAAAAAAAAAAAAAAAAGCAAATTGGCTGGGAGAAATTAGTTAATTAGTAAATCCACTCATAAGTCATAACCCAAAACGCTGTTAAAAAAAAAAAAAAAGTCATAACCCAAAACAGTAAAAATGGTAGCCATTTTTTTTTGTCCAATTTAACTACACTCGTCTTACCATTTTGTTTTGTAGTCGACTTATTACATAAGATAAAACGGCCCGATTGTCATTTATAACACCCGTGTTCCAAAAAGAATGAAATAGTTGTGTTTATATCGGGAATTGAAGTGAAGGCGGTTCAATTCTAAATGGTTTACTAAGTTGGTCGAGTTATTAATTAAACCTAAGAGGGATTTAATTAATTTGGTTTAGTAAAATCATGGTTTAATCAAATTAAACAAAGGAACCCTATTTTTTTTTATATCACGACACCAGCCTCCTCTTCTTCTGTCTCGTGAGGTGCAAATAAAAAAAAAGAGAGGAGGATGATCTAGGGTCTTGTTGATGTTAGTTTATTATTTTTAGTATGATGGAATTTGGATTTTTGATTTGATTTGTGTTGGTTTTGGTATAATTTTTAAATTAGAGAAAATTAATTAATATTTATGCGGATATTAGTTAATTAATTAATAAAAAAAGGTTCGGATTGTTTCAATTGGTATCAGAACGTTTACGCTCCTAGGACGGTTTAGGGAATTTAATTAGGACTAATTGAATTTTCGTGATGCTTAAAGCGTGTTGTTAAACTGTTTTTTGTTTGTTCTGAAAAAATTGATTATGAGTAGTTAGTCAATTTGAGTGAGCATGGAGTCTTAGAATCATCCTCTTCGAGCCTTCAATGAGATTCCACGGTAAGTTATTTTGTATTTTTGGTCCGATGTCTTCGTGTACTTAGTGTCTGCTTGTAAAAGTGCAGATAGATGTCGGAGCTAGAGGTCGCGGTCGTGGTCGTAGACGTGGCCGTGGTCGTGGTCAGGGCGTCGGGGCTCCGGTAGCGGATGAGAGTGTGGCACAGAGTGTTACGGTTGAGCTGGTCGGGAGTCTGCAGACGGATCAGGAGGAGCCTGAGGGTTTGGCCGGTGGGGGTGCCGTTGTGGATGGAGTTCCAGTGGGCGTTGCTCAGGCTCGAGATGACCGCATTGCGGACTTGTTGATGAGGCTGTTAGAGAGGCTACCGGAGAGGGTACCAGCACAAGCTCCGGGAGTACCACTAGTGGCTGAGGTACAGCCGAGGATTGCGGTTGCAGAGGCGCTCCCATCTTACATCAAGATGATGGAGCAGATGCAGAGGATTGGCACAGAGTTTTTTTCGGGTGGTGCCAAACCTAAAGCGGCGGATGAGTGGAGGATGCGGATGGAGCGGAATTTCTGTTAGATGAGGTGTTCAGAGGGATACCAGGTTGATCTTGCAGTCCACTATCTGCAGGCAGATGCACATCTCTGGTGGAGGGGTGTTGCGGATAGGAGGGCTCAAGCGGGGATGAGCTGGGTGGACTTTATGGCGGAGTTTAACGCCAAGTACTTTCCTCCAAAGATGTTAGACCAGTTAGAGGGGCAATTTTTGGAGTTGTCTCAGGGGAGCCAGACGGTTCGTGAGTATGAGGCAGAGTTTAACCGTCTTAGTGTGTATGCTGCTCGAGCTATGGAGGGTGAGCAGGCATGAGTGCGGAGATTTTTGAGAGGTCTTCGGGCTGAGTTGAGGAACCGTTGTCTTGTGAGACTGTTCGGTACAGTGGTGGAGTTGGTCGAGACGGCTGCGTTGTTGGAGGAGGGTCTGAAGGATGAGGCGGTGGTGACCAGCCCAACTCTTCAGGCAAAGAAGCCTCATCAGCAGTCCAGTTCCAATAAAAGCGGTAAGCCGGTGCAGGGACAGAAGCGTAAGTATGACGAGACTCAGAGGGCTAGCCAGGATGGTTAGGGATGCTTCGGGTGCGGAAGCAAGGACCATAGGGTGGCGAGCTGTCCTCGTAGGAGTGGTACAGATACTCGAGTGTGCTTTCACTGCAAGGAGGCGGGACATATCAAGCCCAAGTCTCTTAAGTTGCAGCAGAGAGAGGTGGCAGTGGTGGCAACGGCAACGGCGATACCGACGGAGAGGCAGATCGCAACGGCACCACGGATGTACTCTATCGGAGAGGTGGATGGGTCGAGTACGAGGCCGATCACAAGTAAACTTCTAGATTTATGTGCTTTAAATTCTAGTTGTTTGTGATTTGTGTTATTTTGTTTTTAGTGTCGTGTTAAGATTCTTAGCATGAGAAAATTGTGTATGGACGAGAAACAGTTGTAAGAATCTTCTTTCATTACTTTAAATTTATGAGATTATAATATGTCCAATACATGTACAAAAATATTATAATGTTTTGGTGAGTATACTTACTACATTGCAATAAAATAAAAAAACTGAAATTATGAAAAGAATAGCATGATCAATATCTATTTTTTTCACTTGGATTTTTAATATGGATTCTGATTTATATTGGAAGTGATGGCAATATATATATATATATATATATATATATATATATATATATATATAATATATATCTTATATCTAATGACATGCAGCATAGGTGAGAGATTTTAAAATTATAATTATGAGCATTGTCGAGCGGTTGCCGATTGAAACGATGTGTTTCTCAAACGCCTTTGGTTAGTAGTAGCCATGTATAAAATCACGTTTCGGTGATGATCATTATGCTAGAGACATGAATACGGGGTATGACATCGTATTTTACATCCAAGATAAAGAATAATTTCTGTAATCTATGTATTAAGTGACTAGAGATAAAAAAATTTCATGTATTGTCTTGAATTTTTTTGATATAGATTAGTTAAGACTTAGTGGGTGTTATTGGTTTGTGATTGAAATGGAGTTTTGATGACTCTAATAAAATCATAGAAAGTGAAAAAGTGAAAGATTTAGAAGAATTGTTAGAGAGTTTTCAATAGTCTTGTTGATTAGTTTTCTATAATCTTGTAAAGTCTCCCAAACAATCTCAATATTTCAATCATACTTTCCATGACTTTATTTTGTAAAGAAAAGTGTACAAAATCATACACCAATAACACAATAATTAAAGTCATTAACAATCATAGATTGTTTTGTTTTAGTTGAATAACACAAAATTTTTAATGACTTTATAAAACTCTTAATCCAATAACACCATATTCATTAGGATTTTAAATGATTTTTTACAAGTCACAAACTAATAACACCAAATTTTAAGAGAGTTTAACAAAATCTTGATCGAATAACAACAGATTCTACATAACAATTAAAGTCATTAAAACTCTATTTAAATCACAAACCAATAACACCCCCTTAGTCTTGTATTGATTGATTTATGTTTGTTTTGTGATAAATGCTTAGATATGTCTTGTATTGATTGATTTGTATCTATTTTATGATTGAGATGTTGATTAGGAATGTCTACATCATACTTATTGACTGCTTAGTGTTTATGATATATGTGTTCAATGCTTGGTTGATTTTAATTAGGTAAAGAATTTAGTTTTGCCATTGAATGCTAACAACACAAACCAGAACTTTAAACAAGTATAACCTAACACAAACTAAAACTTAAACCTAACCTTATACAACCGCATCTTAACACACCCCATTTCCCTTCATTATTTTCATTTTTCTTCTTTTAAAGCATTCATTCTCCTTCTATGAATCCATATACTACCTCTTCAGGCTTCATGGACCTTTTAACCAGTCAACAAGAAATCCACATCGTTCATTCCAGTCCTTATGGCAGTGTTTCACCAAGTTTTAAGTATTAAAGTTAGTGAATCAGAAGTCTCTCTCTTTAGCACCCAATGGTCTGATTCTCCAAGTCAAGGTGAAACCACAATTGGTAACCGAAAACAAAAAGAAGAGGACCAACTGGACACCGAAAGAAGATATGGTGCTAATCTATGCGTGGCTAAACACAATAAAGGATCTCATAGTTGGGAATGAGCAAAAAGCGGATGCATTCTGGAAATGCATTACGGCCTATTTTGCATCAAGTCTGAAGGTTGCTTGTTTGAAAAAGAGGGAGCCAAGTCACGGTAAGCAAAGGTGGAAAAAGATTAATGACATTGTTTGCAAGTTTGTCGGATGCCATGAGACTGCAACAACTCATATGTCTAGTGGGTAGAATAATAATGATGTGATGAAGCTAGCATGTAAATATATGCAAATGAGCCAAGTCACGGTAAGCAAAGGTGGGGAAAGATTAATGACATTTTTTGCAAGTTTGTCGGATGCCATGAGACTGCAACAACTCATATGTCTAGTGGGCAGAATAATAATGATGTGATGAATCTAGCATGTAAATATACGCAAATGATTACAAGAAGAAGTTCAGTTTGGAGCATGCTTGGAAAGAGTTAAGACATGATTAGAAGTGGTGTCCATCTACACAAAATACTAAAGACACTAGAATGGCAAAAAGAAGAAAGTGTGAGGAGGGTTATGCACATTCTTCAAGCTCAAACCCACTAAGTCATGGAGAGGATCGGATGTAGCACAAGCTTGTCATCTTGGTGTGAAGGCTTCAAAGGCCAAAGGTAAAAGGAATGCCACTAATTCAGCCATTGTGGAAGGAGAAGGGAAGTCTCTGTCTGAGTTCCAAAGCATGTGGAAGATTAAGCAACATGATTTTGCTTTGAAAGAGAAGTTGAACAAGCCCAAATTGCTTGACAGTCTTCTAGCAAAAACAGAGCCTCTTAGTGAAATAGAAACAACTTTGAAAAACAAGCTAATTACTAAAGCTAATTAGTTTTGAAATTAATGACATGTTAAGTGATCTAGTTGTACTGTGTCAAAAGCTCTTTATGAGTTTAATTGTAGTCGGCAGTTTCTGATCTTTGAAAAGATCAATTGTGTGTTTTTGAGTTTCTGTTCTTGCTTGTTTAGTGATGTTCTTTATTAATCGAGTTTATGTTCTGTATCAATGATCATTTTAAAGTCATCTCTGTTTCATATATTGATGTGCGACTGTTTTGTTCTATGTCTCACATCTTGATGTGATTTTGTGTAGGTCTCCAGTAAAAGCTAAAGGACAAGTTCACGGGACAAGAAGATAACAAAAGATGGCAAGTTGAAGAAGATGACAAGAAGATTGCAAGTTGAAGAAGAGGACAAAAAGATGGCAAGTTGAAGAAGAGGACAAGTTCACATGGTTCATTTTCAGACCACAAATATTTTGGATAGCATCTACTTTTCCTTTCTTATACCGAGACCACATAATTTTGTGTTGTTTCTACACCACAACCATTGGACCACACATATTTTCCGTTGCTATATAAGTCACAATGTATGACACTTAAATTACCACATTCTTCTTTTGCTACTTTTTCTCACAAACTATCACACAAAAATTCCCTTTTTCTACTTAATCAAAAATTAGTGGTTGCATTGTTTAAGAAAATGACATCTTCTTCCCGAAATAATTTCGACGAAACGTTGGATGAAAATTTTGATCAAGTTTTCGATCAAGCATTCGTTTCTTGTGGTGATCGTCAAAAAACAACCAAATCAAAGAAAAAATGAGCATATATTGAAAGAGATCGCGAACAAGGAAATATCCAGTTATGGAACAATTATTTCAGAGAAAATACAACATTCCCTCCTTATACATTTTGACGCCCTTTTTGAATTGAACAAGCCCTTGTTCATGCGTATTGTTGATCGACTCTCTATGAAGTTCTATTCTTTGAATAAAGAAGAGATGCTACTGGAAGGTTCGGTCTCTCTGCACTTCAAAAGTCTATAGCAGCAATTCATATGATTGCATATGGATGTGCGGCTGATGCGGTTGACGAATACCTCTAGATTGCTGAAAGCCCTGCGATTTCATGCTTGGAACATTTTGTTGAAGGAATCATATATTTGTTCAGAGATGAGTACCTAAGAAGACCCACATTAGAAGAGACATATTGGAGATCTACATGGATTTTTTGAGATGATAATAAGTATCAGTTGTTTGCATTGGGAGTGGAAGAATTGCCCCACCGCTTGGAAAGGGAAATATACATTTTAGAGGTTGTACCTTCCCAAGATCTTTGGATATGGCACACGTTTTTGGACCTTCATATACCTTAAACGATATCAATATTCTTGATCGCTCACCAATAGTCGACCTCCAAAAGTGAATTACTTAGTCAACGAGAACGAATATCATTTGGCTTACTGTCTCACTGATGGAATTTATCCAAAAACTACATTTATCCAATCTATTTCAATTCCAGTAGGTCCGAAAGCATCTTTAATTGCTACAAATCAAGAAGCTTGCCGTAAAGATGTCGAGCATGCTTTTGGAGTTTTGCAAGCTCGATTTGCAATTGTAAAAAATCAAGCTCTTATTTGTGATAAGGTAAAAATAGGAAAGATTATGCCAGTATGTATAATACTTTACAATATGATAGTAGAAGACAAACAAAATATGTAAACTCAGTTTGATGTATCCGAAATTGCACAAGCGGAAACAACCGGAACTTCGCGAGTGGATTAAACCTATTCTACAGATATGCCTTCAAATCTCGTAAATATGATGGGCATTCGAACTCGAGTTCGTGATCGAGATATGCATCAAGAATTGAAAGCTGATTTGGTTGAGCGTATATGGCAAAAATTTGGCACAGATCAAGATTACAACTAATCTTTATTAAGGTTTTTTATTTGCATATCTATTTTTATATGCTTTTATGTCATGTATGTTTAAAATTTTATGAATTACAATAATTATTAAGTTTTATAAACTAAAAAGTGTTTATAATTTAAAATTATTAAAATAATCTTTTTTTAAAGAACGGGTTCTACAATTGGACAATGACAAATTTAAGAACTCTAACACAAGCTCTTAACAAAACAAAAACAATTTTTGACCCACCATAAATACAAATAAAATTCTTTTTAATAAAAAGTTCATGTTTTGGTTTGAACTCGTCACGAATATTCTTGTGTACTACATATACAAAATAATGATTTAAATGTTAATATATACAACAACAACAAAATTTGTCTTCTAAATTAATATATAATTTATTATTTTATATATTTGTAATTTAAAAAGCATTATAACATTTGATTTAGAATTATTAATTTATAAATATATTTTTTAACTGTTGTAGACGTTTCATACCATCACTACATATCCACAATGTGATAATACTGATTTTAATATTTTCTATACTTACGGTCCTTATAAAATCTTGCTTTCGGCGCAAGTATCTGCAAAACCTTGGAGCGAACACATATCTTTATCATGCTAGCTCATGGAATGCATGATAGCTCTCATCCTCGTGTGTTTTACCATATATATTTTAGTTCTTACTCTTTCCAATAAATAGTGGTTTGAAAACATATGTGTACGTAGAACCACATAGATTTCAATCTTTGGTAGGTCACCATGTACCTTGAAGCCATGGCTCTAGTGGGCATGTAAATCCCCGACTCACCGCGTTCATTAGTCAATAGATTTGTTTGACTAGTCACACGTTTGTGTTAGTTGCTTTTGTGGCTTTTGTTAGAACAACAAATCCAAAGTAGCCATGGATTTGAGATGATCTCCAGTTAAAGGGTGCATCCCAAATCTGTTTTCTTCATTCAATAGACTGTCTTACAATAAATAATTCACGACTTTTGTGTTAAAACACAACACAAAAGTAGTGAATAGTCATCTCGTCGTTGAAATATTATATTAAGTGAAAATTTGTGCTATATGAAAGCTTAAAGGACTTTCTTGAATCATAAATGAGTAGCCCTTGATTGAGGAAGTATAAGCGCATTTAAAACTGGACCTACAATTTCAATAAACAAGCAATCCAATTATAATACTCGATGTTGGATGTTGGTGGAACCATACACAATATTAAGCACTTCGAATTCTTAAACATAACTAAAGTGTAGAAACAATTCTAACACCGGAAGATAAATAAAAGAATGGAAGTGTGTTGTTAAAATTGTGAGAGTCACATCTAACTTGAACAATTTCGCAGGTAATATGTAAAATAATTTGAATACTATAAATCACCACACAAACTTTTCTTAATAGAATTAAATCTATAAAATTAATTCCTACAACTAGTTCTTTTTGTAAAAGAACTAAATTAAAAAAAAAAAAAACTAAAAGTTATGTGTTATACACATCATATTAATTTGATCATATTGTTAAATGTGGTCTATACTGTTTTTTTTTTATATCACTTGCATTCATAAATAGTATAAGTTCTTTGTTATTTTGATCAACATGCGGTACATCGTTTTTTTTTTTAAAAATAAAAATTTTACTTCTATTTATAAATACTAAGTTTGAATGGAAAAAGCAGATTACAGTATATGTCAAACATATAATGTGGAACAAGTGTTGACGAGACAGATCGAGCATAACATGTACAAATCAAACATATCATGAAGTATAAAATGTATGTTTGAATAATAAAAAAAGTAAAAATAAGTGGTACGATACAAATGATTGAAATTTTAAAAATAATATAAAAAAATTTCGAACAAAAACTTTAGATAAAATATTATACCAGATAATACTATACTAGTTTTTCATTATATCGGATTAGAGTTAAGGTATATTTTTAGTATTACAGTAACCAAGTTGAGTATTAAAACGGATAATAGCAAATAATGGTTAGAATTGTGTAATTCATGATATTAAAAGTATTATACAATGTATACCTAATAAATTACTAGACGAATTGGGTAACAAGTCTGGTTTGGATAATCTTAATACACAAACTCACAACGAACTATTACTAACTCAAATGAGACTAGTTTTTCTATTACTTAACCATAAATATTTCTTTTAGATTAAGTAAATATATAGAAAAACAGAATGAACACATCATTTTGATATTTTTCTAAAATCAAACAGATATTACCATTTTTTTATTGATTGAAATTTTAATTAAAGTAAAAGTATGTTCATTTTTCAGTGTTAATTGTCAATTATTCATTGTTCATTGTCAAATGGCAATGTAATATAAATTTTTGTCATCCTACATACAGATCGCATTTTTTCTGTAACCTCATTTAAAACTTATGTGTGGAGAAAAAAGTGTGGTTCTTTTTACTTTGCATACTATATGCATTCTTCTATAAATAACAGAGATATCATAGACAAACACAAGTCGAGAAAGTTAGAGTTTACAACCAACATAAGAAAAAATAACGAAATTTATGATAATGAAAAAGTACAAACATAAGCAAAATTGTAACATAAATGAACGCAACTTAAAAACGACAATGATTTAGATCTCAAGATTAAGCTTGAAAAATAAGTATAGTGAAAATAATAAATAAGCATAATTATGTTCATAAAACATTGGGCATCATTTAGTCACAAAAAGCGGATAGATAATGCTGATCATGTAAGTCATACAGAACAAGCAAAACAAATTAAATACGGATGAAACAGAACATGTAGCTTAATTACAAATAATGCAGCCCAAAATATTTGTTTGAATGGTGAAAACGCATAAAATGGTGCAAATCAAATGGTTACGTAGTACAAAAAAATTTAAAAAGAAATTTAGAATTTTAATTTTAAATAAGAAAATTTACATAATATTAAACGTTTTATAATAAATTAAATTTTTCAATATTAGTTTCACATTTTTTAAACATATAAATGTTTCATTACTAACATAGTTAGGTGGTGTTATTCAATGATGGATTTTAATAGAATTGAAATCCAACACTAATCCAGTGTTATTAACCTAATGATTCTAAATCAAACTCTAATAGATTTTAAAGTTTGGTGTTATTCAACTAAGATTTAAAATGCTTCATTAAAATCCAGTGTTATTCAAAACTAAAAGACTTGTAAAATCTTTGTATATCAAATCATTTGAAATGAAACATCTTTGGATTTCATGAGTAAATTATTAGAATCATAATACTAGATATACTGCAGAGATTTTGAACTCCACACAAACAGATTGTTAAAAACAATATCAGAAATCAAATCTAAACCTTTAAGAATTGACTTTAACTCCATGAATGAATAACACCCCCTTAGTGTTTTAGATACAAAATTATGACACTAGATGTTAATGAATCACATTCTTCTAAATAATTCCATCAATTTGTCATTTAATTTTTTTGTATTTAACTGAGATCAATGCTATTGTGGCTACTGTAGTCTCTGTTGTTTATTGGAAACTAAAGTTTGTGTGCATTGATTTGCAGGATGGATTTTTGAGTCTCAACAAACAATAGCATTGCTCAATGCTCAAAGTAAATTCATTGATATGAATGAGGAAGATGCTCAGAATGAGGAGGATATTCAGAATGAGGAGGATGTGGCAGAAATAGAATTAGAAGAACCAGAGCAAAGTAACACTCAAGCAACAAAACCTCCACGAAAGAGAAAATTGACTTCAAGTATTTGGAATGATTTTGTATTAGTTGGAACAGAAAAAGATGGCAAAGAAAGAGGCAAGTGCATCCACTGTGGTGCAAAGTTAGTGATCAATACTAAAACACATGGAACAATGCACTTGAAGCGCCATTTGGAGAAGTGTCCAAAGATACTTAGGAAGGAATATAGGCATGCATATGATCATAAGAAAGACCATGAGATGACTAGTGAAATCATAATTTACCATAATTTGCCATTTCGCTATGTCGAGTATGAAAAGGTCAGGACAAGAGACAAGTATCTTAATCCGAATGTCCAACCTATTTGTAGACAGACCGTTGGAGCTGATTTGTATAAGCGATATGAGATTGAAAAGGTTAAGCTCAAAGAAGTACTCTCAAATCATCGCGGTCGTATATGTTTCACGTCAAATTTATGGACAGCTCGAGCTACCACCATGAGTTATATTTGTCTGACTGCGCACTTCATTGATGAGAGTTGGAACTTAAACAGTAAGATTCTAGCTTTCTGTGAATTGAAGTCTCCTCACACGGGTGAAGAAATTTCTTACAAGGTTCTTGAATGTCTGAGAAAATTGGGATTAGAAAAAAAGGTATTTTCTATTACTAACAAAAAATGCAAAGAACAATGATAATATGCAAATGTTTCGTAGTGGTCTATTATGTGATGGGAAGTTCTTGCGTGTAAGATGTTCTGCTCATATTCTGAATCTCATTGTGAAAGTCGCTTTAGAACTAGCGAAAGATGTTTTGCATAACATCAGGGAAAGTGTTAGATATGTTAAAGCATCTCCACAGAGGAAAGAAGCTTTTGCAGCTTGTGTAGAGAGAGTAGGAATTAAGAATGGAGCTGGCTTATCACTTGATATTCCTACTCGATGGAACTCTACATATGAAATGCTTGCCAGGGCTTTGAAATTTAGGAAAGCATTTGTTAGCATGCTGGTATGACACTAATTACAAGACATTACCTTCTGAAGATGATTGGAACCGGAGAGAAAAAATATGTGAATTATTGAAGCCTTTCAGTGTCAATACTACACGTTTTTCAGGATCTAAGTATCCCACTTCTAGTGTGTATTTCACACAAGTATGGAGAATTGAGCATTTGTTGAAGAAATTTGCTTCTTGTGATGATGAAGCTGTGGAAAGAATGGCTAAAAAGATGCAAATAAAATTTTTTAAGTATTGGACCGATTATAGCCTCATTTTGGCTATGGGAGCAATTTTTGATCCTAGGATGAAACTGGAGATGCTTGAAATGGCTTATGGAAAAGTTGATCCATCAACTTATAAGTTGAAAAAAGAAGAGTTTAGAGAGAATTTGGTTCAACACTACAAAGATTATCAGGCTAAGTCGTGGAAAAGTTCTTCAGGTACTTCAGCAACTCCAACTCCACATGAGTTAGTTTCCGAGTCTCCACTTGATGATGATTTTGATAACATAAGTACTCTCTTTACTATTCTATAGTTTTATAATCAGGATTTTGTTATTACTAACTTGATGTGAGTCTTCAAGATCTTTTTGAGCTTCAAAAAAGCATCATAGTTGGTGTGAGAAACAAAAAGACACACTTGGATGTTTATTTAGATGAGCCAAGATTAGAGATGAAGTCTTTTCTAGATTTGGATTTTTTGAGCTATTGGAAAGAAAATCAACATAGACTTAGTGATTTAGCATCTATGGTACGAGAAGTGCTAAGTATCCCTATCACTACAGTAGCTTCGAAATATGCGTTCAGTATTGGATCTCGAGTGTTGACTCCATATAGAAACCGACTACTTCTGACTTCTGAGGAATGTACGAGCTCTACTTTGCACTCGTAATTGGCTATGCGGATTTGCAGATTATGAAGGTAATACTTTTTTTAACTAGTTACATAATAATTAAGTGAATTTTTAACTAAATTATGAAATATTTAAATTGTACGTACCATTGAAGTCAATGAAATTGGTAATGGAGATGGTAGAAATTCGGGGAGTACTTCACGAGTAGAGGGCTCAAGATCAAGAGATTCAAGCATTCGCTGAAATAATGCATTGTGGTTCGATCTTACACATTGTGGTTATGAACGACGTATGTGACTTTTGTGTTATGAACGTATGGTGTTTTATGAACACTTGTTTCATGTTTTTTATTTTGATATATAATTTGTTTAATGTTTTAGAGATGTATTCCTGTATGTTTTGGACTTAACCACTTCTCAAATGTTTCACATATTAGTTTATCAATTTTAAAACCAGATTAAATCTCAAAAAAACCAAAAACAGGTAAAAGTCAGACGGGCCTAAACGGGTTTTTAGAAATTTGGCAGGCTTAAACGGTAGGGGACTAAACGGGCTTCAAAATATTTAGTTAAACGGGCATGGGTCTAAACGGGTTCGGGCATGGGCCTAAACGGGTTCGGGCCTAAACAGGCTGGGTAGCCCGTTTTAACATTTCTAACAAGAGCAATAAAATTTTACCGCGTCGCCAAGCTAATAGTAAGACTAACCCTCAACACTTCTTCACCATAGATCAACCCTAAGAAAACTAGCCTAAACTCTCTAATCCTCAAACTAGCAAAGAGAGAGAATGCAGCGACGAACCCTCATTCTTCAACGTGAGCCACCGGACCCCTTCCAAGAACAACCCAGCTTCAATTCGGTCAAGCAAACGTTGGTGTCGACAGCGGAAAAGGTTGTTGGCTCACAGGCCCGACCCATAGCTAAAGTCCAACAAACAAGAGCTTTAGGCATCAAAATATATAAATACTTTTGAGGGCATCAAAATTTCTAAAGTTACTTGTAAGGTAGCGGCTAAACTGGGTTGTGTAACTCTTCATGTCGCTGGTTCAAGTTCCAAGTTTGCATAATTGTGTTTTTTTTTGGGCAGCAATTTTTTTTTTTTTTTGCTTTAGACAGCCCACAGTGATGGGCCGGCCATGTTGTTCACCACGAACCCTAACCACCGAGATCTGAACCCAACCATCACAGATCCATATATATCGCTAATCGCCTAACTAACAGTGAAAACCCATTGATCCGCCGTCCCACTTCCGTTGCAACCCAAAGCTTTAGATCTGACACGACGAGCTGCGAGAACCTCTAATCTAGTCTGGCGGTATCCTATGCCAACCTGAACCCGATAGGAAGCATCGCCAAACTGCTGGATTTGTCGCCACTAACTTGCATCGAATGGCGGATACGATTGTCCAAGATGATAAAAAATCTTTTACATAGTACAGCTAACGCTTGAAGGTTAGGTAAATACTAATAGAAGGACTCTCTGCTCAAGTCAATAAAACTGACCAAAAGACTTGGTTAGAAAAACCAGAAAGAATCGGAAAGCAGGTATTTGGTTATTTTGGGTCCATAGAGAGCGGATCCACATTGGCAATACTGTTTATGTTACTTATTATTTTTTTAGATTAACAGCTAACAGGTGTATCAATTCCTTGGACTAGCACAAAGTCAAGACGAAACATCCTCATGTTCAACCCAGTGTTACGTTAAGTGATAATGGCATAATGCTAAATGATATCTTATGATTTTAACGGTTTTTTAGCCTTGCATTTTCATGTCATTTAGGTTGTTTAGATTGCATTTGCATCAAGTTCTTTGTTTTTAGGTGTTTGGAATAGAGGTATGAAGAATGAAGCTAAAAGAGGAGTTTTGGACCATAAAACCCCAAGAATTGATCAAGAGAGAAGAGCAGAAAAGACCAAGGAAATTGAAGAAGTAAAGAAAGACCAAAGGAAGAAAAAAGAGCCATAGCGACCAATTGTATCAGGGTATCTTGCTTGCTACAGATTCCCCTGAAGATGGATACATTTCCAGAATTTATATCAGGCAACCATATGGCCGTCTGCTCCTTGCTACGAGTTATTTAAGCAGTCAAGATCCAAATTACAACCGGATCAAAACCCGGTTTGTTCCGGGTTGACCCGGTTTGTTTTCTTTCTCTATAAATATGTCTAAACCTAATTTCTAGATTGATCATGCTACCTAAGCCTAGCTTTCTTAATTTTTCTTTGTAATCAACTTTAAACCTTTGTGATTCTTGCTTTTATATAAGTATTTCTTTAGATTCAACTTCTATTTATCTCTTATACTCTTCTTCTAACATGAATCTTCAAGGATTAATCTCAACTCATTGGATTTTCATGGCTTTAAGTGAGTAGTCTTCTTAGAGCTTTTGGGTTAAGTAGATTAGGGTGATTAGGTGATGATTTGTGATGCTTAGGACTTAGTCTTAATATATCCTTACTCTCTAGGTGCTCTTAGTGCTAGATTAGTCTTGATTAAGCTAGTCTAGATCCTAGAAAGTTTCATGCCCGGAAGGTGTTCAATGAAATTCCCGAAAAAACTTAGTGAGTGCTTAGCATTCCTAGCCAATGGAAATTGATGATTAGGGTGCTAGGTGGTTAGTTAGACTTGAAATTAATGCATATTAGTCTTGTGATTGCCAATAGAAATTGATGTTAATTGCTTGATTAGTGTAGAGTTATTACCATGGAAGTGGACTAACTTAAATTAGTGATCTTAGACCTAAGGATTAGCAAATGATTTATTGTATTAGCATCATAGATTATCCTTTGACCACCCAAGTCAATAACCTTACCCAAAGGCTTATTCATTTAGCATTTTCGTCTTTGACTTTTTGTTGACTTTCGTTGACTTTTTGTTGACTTTTATAAATTGCATCTTTCTCATTTAATTTGCTATTGCTTTATGTTTATGGGTTATTGCTTAGCTTAGACACTTGTTTAGCTTTGTCAATTGCTTTTGGATTGTTTATTTCATTTGTATTTTAGTTCCTTTTGTTTTCATTTCACTTAGGTTGTTAGTTTAAAACCAATCCTATATTTGCTTAGATTAAGAAATTTTGTGTATTCTTAGTGTCTTAGATCTCTAGTTCCCCGTGGATTCGACCCTTAAGTGCTATAAACGATAACCATTAGATTGTGGTTTTTGGACTTAGATGAAATATTAATTGATAGAAAACCTCCTAATCACTAAACTATTTGGATAATATAAATTACATATACAATAGTGCTAAAATTATATTCGGTTAATCTAAAACAAAAATATGTAATATAAACAGTATTTTCTAAGAATTGATTAATCTAAAAAATTAATAATTAACATAAATTGTATTGCCAATGTGTCATCATCCGAATTGAAATTTTATAAAACTCATGTTTTTCTAAATTAAGAGATCTTGGAAATGATTGGTTTCTATGTTCTATTACTGTATTATTATTATATAATTATTATTTTATCAATTAAAACATATACAAAACGTAACATTGCAGAATAGAAATTAATAAGTATCAAATTATTTTGATTTTTTAATTAAAATGAATAAAATTTATTGTAATAGTAATATAGTATTAAGTAACATAGTCCCCAGTTGACCAAACTAATAAAAGGCACATCCACAATATTACCTGCAATTGACCAAATTCTTACCAAAATCACGAACAATAGAGAAAATACAAAACAGCCTCAATTATTCACAATTTTCCTACATGTATCTAAAATCTAAAATTAGTACAATTTATTTAGCTCTATGTATGTAGGTCTCACATACATATAAGATTATATTAATTGGTTTATATTAATAGATGAAAGATTATATTAATTGGATTTTTTTTCCTCCATTTATCATTTTTTTTTAATATGTAATTTACTGTTGTCTATAATTCTTTCATCAACATGGATTAATCGAATAGGTTAATGCTGACAACTATGGTACAAATTAAAATATTTATATAAAAACATTTATTACTCAAAAAAATGCGCCAATTCAGAGGCTTGTCTAACGTGTGAATATAATAGTGTTACATGCTTGCCTATCTATTTATACTAAATCAACAGTCACTTTAATAAAAACTGCAACACTCTCCTTTTGACATATGGCAAAACTCTCAAATTTTGCTCTTTCACTTTCACGTAATCCAATTCTACTATTCTTGGGAAAAAATTTGACAAAAAAATAAATAATATTACCACTTTTTTAGCAACCACTACTTCCCCCATGATCTCAAAGTTATCCTTTTTTCCAAATCCTCTCCTATTTAAGTGATGAAACCACTATAACGAAAGTAATTAACATATATATAGATAACTTTTTATATTAATCATTATGTAGCTAATGGATTCAATGCACTTCCATTAAAAAAAAAAACATATGTTTGATTTTTCCAAAATATTTTGAAATATGATGTAAATTGACATTTATGTTGTTCCTGCATAGCAGGGGCCATAATGCTAGTACTATATATAAAGAGAGAGACTTCTATAAGACTCTCCTCCATTTTTGCTACATTTTTTTCTTTGATTAAAAACATTTTTACTATTTTTCGTTTTTTGCTATTTCCTTGTTACTTAGAAGAAAAAAAAATGAGAGGTAGAGGAGCAAAGTTCGCCGGCGTATTGCCGTTGTTTATGCTATTCATCGCCGGAACAATCTCCGCCTTTGATGACATCGAGAGGTTAAGGATTTGGCCGTTACCGGCACAAGTTAGCCACGGTGGCCGGAGAATGTATCTAAGTGGAGATTTCAAGCTTGTTACGGAGGGAACCAAATATGGAGACACCTCAGGCATTTTGAAAGAAGGATTTGATAGAATGCTTAGTATTGTGAGGCTGAGCCACGTCATCTCCGGTGACCGGAATTCTTCAGGCTCCGGTGGATCTGCTTTGCTTCAGGGACTCCACGTCATCATCTCTTCCTCCACCGATGAGGTTAGTTTTAGTTATCAAATCTACAACAACACTTTTTTAATGATATTTCTTCAAGTTGTTGAAGTTAGAGAAGATGATTCATGAAAAAAGTTTAATTTACATTTAATGTCATTATTAGTTGCAATCATCTCATTATTACCACAATCAAAGACAAATCAATTGTCTTTATTGGTTTTAGATTGTATCCTCTTTTTTTAGATATGTCATTTTCACAAATGTTGCATCATTTTTTTTCCTTTTCTTTTCTTTTTCCTAAAACACTTTCTATCTAGGGTGATTTAGGTGAATAACCCAAAAAAAAAGAAAAATTAGTTTTTTAGAAAGAAGTTAGAGAGAGATAGGAAGAGAAAGAGAGTGAATAGGGGGGTTAGAGGTTAGATATTTAATTTTGTTGTTTTTTTAGGTTATAGGGTGCAATTTCTCTTCTATCTACTAGTCCATTTATATCTTTTTTTGTATGGAAAAAAGAAAGAAAGAATATTTCTATATTTCCTTTAAAAAAATATTTTAAGAAATACTTTGATATTTTCAAAATATTTATTTCTTTATTAATTTTGATCATATCTCAACATGAAAATTGAACTCACGTTTATTTCTGTATCTATTTGGTTCAACTCAAGTGAGTTTTTATTTATTTTAGTATAGAAATTTTAGAAACTCAATTAAAAGAATGATTAAAAAAATAATTGTCAATTTTATTAAGTTAAAGTTTTCATTATTTACTGCATTTTGATTTTGGTTCTGTTCATTTTTTTTAAATTCATACTAAAATTAAAAGATATTGAACATATATAATCGGTGTATTTTTTCTTAAATCATAAGAATTAACTAATGTTTAATAATTTGTAAGTACAAAATTAAAAAGGCGAAAACGAGAAAGAAATAGCTCAATGCCTCCTTTAATTCGTTTATTTTGGAGTAAAACATTCCTCTGTTTTTTTTTTTTCTTTTTTTTTTCTTTTTTCCTCCAATTGTTTTCCTCTAACATGTTTACCATTCAAACATTGGGTATATCTGGTCTTTTTTTGTCTTCATTTATAACTAATTTTCTTTTGTCAACTCTCCATAAAAGAATTTTATCCTTCTTGATTTATTTTAGCGTATAGAATTACAAATTGGATCTTAGTTTACGCAACGTTTTCCGTGAGATTTCTATAAAAATAAACTTATTGGAAAACTCCATAAATATTTGATTTTGTGCGTAGATGTATCGATTATCCAACTTCTTATTTATTTATTTTTTTGGTTGCTTGGCTTTGTTGATTGGTGTCTGGCGACTTGCTTGTGTGGACCACCAACTCACGGACATCCTCGTTATCTTCAATAAGATCATTTAATAGAATAAAAAAATTATGTTTTAAAATCATTGAGAGTATTTTTTTTTTTGAAAAACAAAATCATTGAGAATTTTCATTCCGAGATCCACATTTTAATCAATATCAAAAATCTATAAAATTATCAATAGTCAAGTGGTAGTAATGAAATGTTCATATTGGTTGAAGATACGTATCAATTATATTTTTATCAATTCTTTTGACCACCATATAATTTAGCTGGTGCAAGTCTGGAAGATTACTCTAGATTCTGATCTTAAATAAAAATAGTTATCTATTTATAAAGATATGAAAGTTTAATAACTGTACAACCATATATTATTAAGAAAAGATGATAATATCTACATTTTCATACTAAAATATATACATCATAGCCTAATCTTATATCTCATTTTTTTCGATTGATTATCAATATACTGAATCTCTAGGTTTTAATTTTATATACATTATCATGTTCTTGACTTCTTGTTATGAAATTAATCATCTGAACATTACTAATTGACTTTTAACAAAAAAAAATTACTAATTGACGTAAATTTCAATATATTTAAAATGGGAAACGCACCAGTAAAAAAAAAAAAGATGATTGAATAATAAAGAAGTTATTGTTTGTATTAAAAACCCAACAAAAGTCGTTAAAATTTGTGTAGTTTTTGTGTTGCAGTTGGAATATGGAGCAGACGAGTCGTACAAATTAGTGGTTCCATCTCCAGAGAAGCCGTCTTATGCACAACTTGAGGTTAGTTGGTACCACACCACCTAACCCCAGCTTTTGTCACTTTCTCTAACTACTTATATCCATAAAATTTTAAATGTAAATTCAGCTTTATAACCATAAAAGAACCTAACTTTGAAAATATACAATTTTTTTTCATTCGTCCCGTTTTCTTTTATAGTTGAGTTCGACATGCAATCAATTTTTCACCGTAAAATACATGTTTCAGAAAAAAAGTAAACACTTCTATTGTGTTGTGTTTTTATGATCTAGTACTTTTGCAGCTTCCTTTTAAATGTAGATATCTTTTTTTTCACCCACTATAGAGACCCATGTAACATAGGTAGGGACATGGAATGGTGTCCTCCACGTGAACTGTATTAAACATAATGGGATTAGTATGGTCTTATTTTGTTTTTTTCCTCTATAAGAAGAATACAAACGCATAAGCACAAGTCGTTAGCTACTTATTATGCCAATTATTATTTCTCAGTGCTTTCATTCTAGACAAAACGTACAAAATTGTGAAAGATAAGTGTGATTCCACTAGTGTTGGCCCCTCGTGTTTAATCATATATTACATGAATTAATAATACAATCATATATATCCTTTGATATTTGTGTTACCTTGTAGGCAAAGAGCGTTTACGGTGCGTTGCATGGTCTACAGGTTTGTGTTTATCATTTTTCCTAACTAATTAATTTATGATTATAACTAAATAAAGATGTCAAGTTATTTAAGAAAATGAAATTATAATGCAGACATTTAGCCAGTTATGCCATTTTAATTTGAAGAAAAAGGTTATAGAGATTCTAATGACTCCATGGAGTATCACAGACCAGCCTAGATTCTCTTACCGTGGCCTTTTAATCGGTAAGCGATTATATTTAACTTCTTCTCTAATTACTTACTAACACACATAACTTATATTATATGATATGATTTGTTGTTACTACACAGATACATCCCGACATTATTTGCCACTTCCTGTTATAAAGAACGTGATTGATTCCATGACATATGCCAAACTTGTAAGCTCTTATGATGATTCAATTTGGTTTCGTTGATAAAATCTCATTTTATAAATGACCAAGATTGAAATACTTTGGTTGGTTGATTGCAGAATGTGTTACATTGGCACATTGTGGATACACAATCATTTCCTTTAGAGATACCTTCTTATCCAAAGCTATGGAATGGCGCTTACTCTTCCTCTCAGCGATACACCTTCGAAGACGCTGCTGAAATTGTCAAGTATGTCTAGAACTTAATATTCATGCAAATACATGAATCATACTAAGAAGTCATAGGATTTGAATATGCGGATAAGTCCTTATTTTAACAAAATATGATTGATGTTAACCACTTATGTATGTGTATATATAGTTATGCTCAGCGACGAGGGATCCATGTCTTGGCTGAGATTGATGTTCCAGGACATGCTCTCTCATGGTAAATTTTTCATCATCAAATTTTTTTCATCTTCTCTTATATATTTCGCATTTTCGACTATAATAATATTCATTGTTACAAATAAAGGGGAAAAGGATATCCTGCCTTGTGGCCCTCCAAGAATTGTCAAGAACCACTTGACGTGAGCAGTGACTTTACATTCAAGGTCATTGATGGCATTCTTTCTGGTAAAAAACTTTAAAACACTTTTCTTAATATATGCATCACCAAATGTTTCCTAACTTCTTATGGAAATATTTTAATTTTATTCAGATTTCAGCAAGATCTTTAAGTTTAAGTTTGTCCACTTGGGAGGTGACGAAGTAAATACAAGTAATGAAAATCTTCTCTTTTTATCATATTTTCCATCTATAGTGTTGGTTTTGATTACATGTACTTCGTTACAGCTTGTTGGTCTGCAACGCCGCGAATAGCCCAATGGTAATGATAGTCACACTTGTATAGTTCTTGAAAACATTTTACCTCATTTTACTCAAACTTTCTAACCTGAAGGCTTAAAAAACATCGGATGAGTGAAGCAGAAGCCTATCAATATTTCGTGTTGCGGGCGCAAAAAATCGCTTTGTCTCACGGATATGAAATTATCAACTGGTAATTAAATCACTTTCATTATAAAACGAAAACGATAAGTAATCAAAATTTTCCTATGAAGACTTACTACGTTTTTCTCTAATGTTATACCGTAGGGAAGAAACCTTCATCAATTTTGGAAGCAAATTAAACTCGAAAACCGTGGTTCACAACTGGTAATTGCATCCGTACGTAGAAAAGAAGTACAAATTGTGACTCAACGTTGAATTTATTATAACATTTTGCTTTGATGAATCAGGCTTAATACAGGACTTGTTGAGAATGTGACGGCGTCCGGTTTAAGATGTATAGTTAGTAACCAAGAATATTGGTATTTGGATCATATAGACGCACCTTGGCAAGGCTTTTACGCAAACGAGCCACTTCAAAACATAACGGATAAAAAGCAACAAAGTCTAGTACTTGGTGGTGAGGTTTGTATGTGGGGTGAACATATTGATGCTTCTGACATTGAACAAACCATTTGGCCTCGTGCTGCCGCAGCTGCAGGTACATAAATATTTCCAACTCTTGCAAAATAGTTTATAAGTTTAAAACATACTTTATACTAATTGCTAAACATTAGAAATATATTTTGTGTTTGGGAAGAGCGGTTGTGGACACCCTATGCAAAGTTGGCTAAAAATCCCAACAAGGTAACGACGAGGTTGGCTCACTTCAGATGCCTATTAAATCGACGAGGTGTTGCAGCTGCACCTTTGGTTGGTGGCGGACGAGTCGTGCCTTTGGAACCAGGTTCTTGTCTCGCTCAGTGATTCGAAAAGATTAGCATTTTAGAATATATTACAGTCAGCAACACCTTGGTCAATTCAGGTTAATATGAATCCCTACAATTATGGGATACTTTGAGTTTGTTTTCTTGGTTGATTTCAGTGGTAGAATTATTTGTTCCTATATGGAAGTAATTGTTGCAACATTCATGTTAAAGGCCGTACCAATTTCTGGCTTGAATAAGAATACATAGCTTGCACTTAAATTACAACATTCATAATATTTGGTATCTAAACGATAGAGGCTTTGAATGGTTAGTCCATATGATGCAGACTGGAGAATGCATACCAATATTTTAGTTTACAAAATGTCGGACTGTAGTATGGAGCAAACAATTGTATGTTGGTATGGAGCTTTTGGCGGATTGGAATGAAAAAATGCGGACCAACAGTAAATTTATGATGGTATGGAGAAGTATGCTCAAGTGCATACTAGTATGGAGATTGTTATTATGCAATAGTGCATACTAGTCCGGAATAGTGAATGGTGAATTAAATGCAGACTGATCCGATTTTAATCCGGTCTTGAGCATACTATACAACCATTCAAAGCCAGAGAGAAACTTAAGATGAAAAGAGAGAGAACACCATCGATACGGAGAAAGAGAATGGTTATGTTCGTTTTACAGTCGCCAATGACTAAATCATGTTCGGTTTGTTGTCGCTAACGACAGACCAGCGAATGATCGTTGGTTCAAAATTTAAAACACTAAAATTTCAGCCATCAAAATTTTAGTAGCTAGTTACCCGCCAAAACTGTCTCAAAACTAGCGACAAACAAACAAAAATAAGTGGCTAGCGACTACGAAATGAACAAAACTATATCACTGGTTCCTATAGCTATCAATGTCGCCAACGACTAAATCATGCTCGTTTTGCAGTCGTAAACAACTAAATTAAACTTGTATGTTTCGTAGTCGTCAATGACTAAATCATATTCGTTTAATAGTTACTAGGAGAATGACTAATGAATTCAAATTTTATCTTTATTAAAGATTGTTTTTTTCTAGTCATGAATAATAGTATTTTTTCAAGAAAAAGACTGCATTAATTTGATTTTGTTTATATATATAAAGGACGTTACAATAAAATTATTATAGTTATGTAACCAAGTGATAAAAAAAAAAGTTTGAATATAACATATATAATTTGAATTCAGTGACGTTGATGAAATATTTTTCAAGGCTTCCAAGCTTTAGGAGGTGGTGGAGTCGGAGTGTAAAGAGGAGGAACACTATTGAACATCGTGTTCTTATCGATTAGTTGGCGACCACTGCTGGTTAGTGAAATGAGAGCAGCCACAAGGCCTGCATTACCAGAGAGAGTAGGCTCGCTCGCGTTATAATTGTTTCGCAAGTCATGGAACTCATCGAATCTATTTGGTCCACCAACCATAGCTCCTGTGATGTTGTTTGGGTTTGGATTCTTTGTGTCTCTATACTTCAATCCTTCTCTACAGCTTCTTCTCTTCTTGTCGTTTGGGATCGTGGCTCCACGGTGGTGAACACGTCTTGGAAACTTCTTGCCAAATCCAACCACATAGCTCATTTTTAAAGGGTTGTCTCCAAGAATGTAATCAATCTGATAAAACATATAACATTATCAATTCATAATCATAATTTGTCCTAAATTAGTCAGATTTCTAAAATTGTAGGATGAGAAAGCCCATTGGTAAGGAGTTTCCCGCAAGCCAACCACTCGTAAAGCACTCAAGACAAACTCAAATAGCCCATATCGAAATCGAAAATGTGGTTGTAGCGAATTTATGCCCTTAGTCCTAGACTCAATACTACTCTACGACACGCGAGTTTCTAAAAACCTAGACCCTGAATCTGTATATCGAATAAGCCTTTATTCTTACCTGAGACTGAGCAAAATCCTTGAGAACATGGTTCTCCACAAATGTAGGTCCACAATACCATCCAGGAACTCCAGTTGAATTAAGATAATCCGCGAACAAGGAAGCTAAGAAGGAAGCATGAGCAACATATTCTAGTGGTCTTGGTTTCCCCATGTTGAGTTGCATAAGCCCTCCTGGAAATTTTGTCCAAAAAAAAAACGGTTCAAGTCTTTTTCAAGACAGCACACAAACGAAAACAGAGTAAATCAGAGTATATTAATCACCTGAAGTCCGGTTAAAGACATTGTACTGCTTGAGATAAGCACACATGGTAACACCAGTAGCGTTATGGTATCTATTGAGCATGTTCTCGTAAGGAAAACCAGGGTTCAAGAACAATCTATACCGAGTCATCAACAACATTGCTCCAGGTAATTTGTTATTCCAGCTCGGTACCATTAAATCTGGTCGATTAGCAAAAGCTTTAGCCGTTTGAGGTACACTCGGCGTAGTGGCGTATTGTATGTAAGTCTTGTTTCCAGTGGCGTAGTAAAGCCATGCACCGGCCCACATGAACTCATCGAACATACTGGTTGAGTTGTAGAAAGCTTGAGCCATTGGTTGTCCATCCGAATAGCGCTTGCGTCTGTACTTGGTTCTAAAGAATGGATATAGAGTTTCTGCGCCCTTTTTGAGCTTTTTGGCGTAGTCCGGTTTGTCAGTGAATACGATTGAGGCAGCAGCTAAGGCGGCAGCAACTTCTGCGCCCAGGTCGGCAGCGGAAGTGGAGGAGAGGACAGGGCGGTCGTACGACATGTCTTCTGGTTTTTGCCAACAGTAGATATCATCTGGTGATTCTGAATCTCTTAGTCCTCCACCAACCTAGAAGCCATAGAAATAGGGGGTTTCATCAAAAAGGTTAAGGTTTAGGTTTCTTGTGCAACAAGAAACTATTGAAACATAGTTTTCTCATATAGCATTTGAGAATTATTGAAACCTGAGTGTAGATATGATCAAGGCGAGTAGCAGAATTATTGAAAGTGAGAAGAAGATAATCAGTTCCCCATTTGAGAACATCTCTCATGTGATCATACTCATCGATGGCTTTATATTTGTGGCTATACTCAATGAGACTCCAACTTAGCATTGTCATTGAGAATGCCATCGGAAAATGAAATTTGATGTTACTTCCTCCGTCGTAGTATCCTCCGACCAATCCTCCAACCACGTCCGGTTTCCCATCCCTCAGCCCCGAATCTCCCCTCCATGAAACCTTATTCTTATTCGGCAGTTTACCCGCTACAATATCACATTTTCATTATTTCACCATTCTTTTTTTTTTTCACCATTCTTATTTTTCCATAATCATCAATATTTCACACATTTTTAATCCACTAATTCCTTTAATGCTTAGACGACCGAATTCTTGAATATTTTGTTAGGTCAAATATGAATCTGTGGCTCAACATATTGGTGTTCGTTAAGTGTGTTTGTTTTAACTCTACTTCATTTGTATGATCGGTTGATATGAAAATATGGTTTGAGTTTGTTTCTAAAAACCGATTCCATATTTCTTCTATTTATTTCTTAAGAAAATCAAAATTAAAACTGTCAAGAATTATTTTGTCATTTTCAATTTTAAATAACACAAAAATGCATATGCATATATATCAATAAATATTTTATTTTAAAGTTATTTTATAATTTTGTATAGATATAAATATCAGAAAAATTTGAATATATATAATGTAGAAAAACACAATTTCGAACGAGCCCTTACACTAACCAGATTCATAGAAATTAAGTTTATAAATTTTGGTTTTTTTTTTTTTTTTAATGTAAAAAGGCTTATATATTTTGGTTTGTTATGAAACTATATATGTATTCTTCTCTAATATCAAAACCGCGTTAGTTCTTGGAAAGCCAAATGAATTTGTGAGCATTACCAAAAGCCAGCTCACAAGAAAAAAATGAGAAAATGCGAGGTTGCAAGTTAGTCGGATATACGTGCTTGAAATTAATTTTGGTATTTTATTGGAATGTCAACACTTACGTGTTATTCTTGAAGTCTATACCACCTAAAGAATGTTTATTTTTGAATCATTAAACGTTTTCCAATACTAATAAAGTTATTGCGCTTGTGAACGCGGAATTATTCAAATTTGCCTCACAAGTCACAATGAAATGACTTCTTAATCAGTTAATTAGAAAACTACATCAGCAATCGTTCCACTTTTTTTATTTTCTTATATTTACCAATATTCACATTTTCCACAAATTTTTAAAAATTCTCTTTGTTAAGTCATCAACTTTTATACTTAAGTCTTCTAATGTAAAATCGGGTCTAGCGATTTTTTAAATAAATTTTTTCTATAGAATTGATAACTCCGAATCTCTAGTCATCTTTTTTTTTTAAATCTAATTTTTTTCTTGTTATTCTTAAGTTTATTGTTAAATCTTTTAAAAGGTGTAACTATCATCATTATACTATGCACAAAATATAAAGATATAAAAGAAGAAAATTAGTTGGCAAGAAAAGAAAAAAGAATAATAAGGAAGACTTACATTTTTGGGCATCGAAAAACTGAAGAGCTTTGTGAAGGGCAAGAGTGTAATTATCAGGAGGAGGAGGAGTAGACTTATGACGAGGCAACGACTTAACAATAATGATCGGAAGAGCAACGACGAGAAACAAAACGGCAATAGTTCCAACGGTCCACAAGCAAACCGTGCGGCTCACGGAAACACAACCTAGGTTAACATATTTCTTCTTCTTCTTCCTCCAACTATCTTGCGGTGCAAGTAACCAGCCTTGTTGCGTTTCGTCTAATTCACTTCTCTGTGAATGAATAGCTCCTCTTTCCCACTCCGTCGTTTTCCTCAGCCGTTCTTCCTCCTCTGCCGCGATACGGTCGCTGTCTACGGCGTCCAGCGACCCGCCCCATACATTCCCGGGATGCATTGCTAAAGAGCTTCGATGATTAGTTTTTTTTGGAGAAGAAATATAGAAAGGATTCAGAGAGTTCTTTTTTTTTTCTATGAAAAAAAAGAAGTCTATTTAATTTGGTTTATGATGGGTGAGAGGGATTTTATTAAAGAGTGAGTTGACCAATATTGGGTTTTAGGAAATGGGAAAAGGTGTCTATATTCTAGTAGAATTAGAATAGAAATTTTTTATATTTATTATTCGATCATTTTGAAAAACTTCTTTCAAATAATTTCAAATTATAATATAAATAAATATTTTATGAGAAGATACAATTTACAAAATATTTTTATACTAACTTTAAAAATAAATTATCCCGCGGTACACCGCGGGTTAAAATCTAGTATGAGATTATAAATTGAATCGAATATGTAAAATA